CAGGCATTTAGGAAAAGGGAGAGGAGACTATTCTAAAAGAGATTCAATGGTGCTAACAATTATTGTCATTACATGTTACCAGGAAGCTCAGAAGAAAGTTAGAAGCATCCTAATAGCATCAGCCATGACATTATCATGTGAAATTGGACCCCCAGGAAGGAAAGCATAAGCAACAAATATACTGGAAGTCAGATGAAGAATTCAGCACTGTCAGAATGGAATGGGCCTAAACATTTTTCTGATGGGGAAAATAGCCATTAGAAAAATGATTGTTGCTATTTATGAACATCAGGTTGCTAAGTGACATCATGTGATGTTCACCACTTCATCAGGCACCCACAGTTCTCAAGGAATAGCAACAGAGGGGGTGAAAGGGGTGAAAGAAAACCAAAAGGCTGAGTTACTATTAAAAAAAAGGCCTACAGTTCAAGGGAAAAGAAAATAATCTTTCCAAAAACACCTTAATTTTTTTCCTAGGAGAATCCAATAGAATTATGCTAACTAAGAAGTTTTCACAAAAGCAGTACCTAGGTGAATCATCTGAAACAGACAGACTAACAACCAAAACCTCCCCCAGTCTGAAATATAAATTAAGGACCTGCTTTTATAAATACATATGTATATGTATGGATGTGTGCACATATGAGTTTGTATTGAGTTTTTCCATGAGAGGAAGACTCCATTCATTAAAGGCCACATCATACTTTTTTTATTTGCTTCTAGTGCTGTCAGATTTCAATATTTTGGGCTCAAATGCTTCATGCTCCTTTAATGTACTATTTTAAAAATTATTATTTCAGCTGTGCCACCTGAACTGCCTCATGTAGATTAGACTATTTAAGCACCATTTCTCTGAACCTTTGTCATTTCCTGTGATTTGCATTCTCTTGAAGTTTATAAGGGGAACTGGGACAAGGACAAGATTGAGATGGAGAGGAGAAAAAAGTTTGGATCAAACACCCCACAAAAGTATGAATGAGAAACTGATGAGCGTGGATATAGAAATAGAGAAGACAGAGAAGAAAAAATTAACTGCACAATTCATTTATTTCTGTTGTCTGGTAAGAAAAACTCTGACAGTATAGATTGGTGGTCAGCATCCAAATCCTCATCACTTCCTGTTTGGGATAGTCCTATCACTCAGGATTTGAGAGGCATGTTGCATAACACAAGCATGTTCAGCCTTTCATGCTAGTGTATCTTTTTAGCTGTTAGTAGTCATGTTTTTAATCCCACCTTTTTTTTAACCATCTCTCCCATTATGACTTCTTTTTGATAGCTTTTTGACTGCTTTACTCTGGACCATAAACATTCATTTTAACTTTACTGATGCTTTGCTTTAACATTTAATATTAATATATAAAATGATTGAAAAATATAGATACACCCTAAATGTCTTGTGGTAGAGAGGGAAAAGCAAGAATTTAATTCTATGCACACTTCTTTGTTGACATTTCCATTTGCGCTGTTGAAAAAGAAAAACCCAGCAAAAAGGCAAATATGCCCTCAGTACATTTTCCCATGCTAACAGAGTAGCTTTTTTTTGCTGTGGCAAACACACCTTCCAGACAGGGAGTTGCTTTCGGACTTTAGTGGTTCACTCCCTTCCTGTTTGAGACCAATTATGTCTCATTTGCAATACCATTAGTCAAGGAAGTGGCTATCCTGAGGTCACTTCTCAGACCACCCTTCCTAAATGGCACTGGTATGCCTTTCTTCCAAGCCACCAGGATGGGAGGCCCTCTGTGTGCTGCAGGCTCCTCCAAACCTACAGGCAAAGTCAATCTTTCAGGACTGGCCACAACTAGTGCGAGTTGAAATGCTCCAAACTAATTTGAAAGCTGTGGTTTGAAAAATGATGCTGGCTATTTATTAAAACAGCAAGCATGATCAGACCAAGCCAATTCGCTGGTTTAACAGATGGAAGCTTGTTAAAAATCTTTATTCCAATATGTTAAGAATCCAGTTTTGCTATAAATTGTGAAGTATGACTTGTGAGTCAAGCCCCATTGGAATGGATGCCTCATATTCTGAAAGTCTCAGCCTTACATTTAAGACCCAACATTTTCCACTTTATGTTTTGATTCAGGGATTTTTTTAGAAGTAAACTATTCCCATCGTTTAATAATATTCTATGTTTCCTTTTATTTTAACTAGAATAGATAGTCTGATACTTTACATTTTATCAGTCAAGGACAGTATGATGATTATTATTATTTCTCCTATTTATTAAATTCTGGTCTACTCTCTTTACTACTCAGGTAACACTGTGCTGTTACACCTGAAGTACATAGTTTTAAGTGATTTCCCATGGTCACACTATGTGAATGACTAGCAGAGAAATAATTTTGTCTTACTATATGCAGAAGTTCTTCCTTTCCCTGGTCTCTCAGCAGGGGTGAATAGAGGGAAAAACCCCACAGAAAATTCACTTAATTGTGGGCAATCCATGGAAAAAAAAGAAACAGGTAGTGATAAAAGAGAATTAAGAGCTGAAAGAGGGAGCTGCTGCAAATCTACACCCTCAGTTTCTTTATAGATGCAGCACAGTGTCTGTGCTGCCCTTGTTCACAGTCTTTCCTGGACAGTCCTGCAGCCTTATGGTGTTACTGACACAGGCTGCCAGGACTTGGTAGCAGGTCTCTGACCTCAGGGAATCCCTCTCAGGTAACTCTCACTCCTTATCACATACCTTCTTTGCCATTTAAATATTCAGCATTTTTTATTAAATATGTCTTTGCTATAACTATCAGAAGACTTTTCTCTGTTGTACTTACTTAAAATGAAAACAGAGTAAGTAGCAATCAGGCACCTATGACTACATCATACATGAACTTGTGTACATTTATGAGTAAATTAAGTTTCAACCAGAAAACCTAAAAGCAGGAACACTTCGTGCTTTGGTTTTACTCCCATAACTCCGGTTTTGAGCTGAGATTAATGAAGTTACTTTCAGTGAAACAAGTGAAAGCAACAAGAATGGCTGTAATACATGAAGCTGCCCCCAGTGAAGCCCCACCACTTAACTTCTAAGAAATAATGTCAGTGTAAATCATGATGTGATGAATGCTTCACTGAAATGATTCATGCCATATGGTCTGAAGAGCAAAATGGGCACAGTTTATTTTTAAAAGAATAAGAAATAAGAACTTGGAATATTCATTGCTTTGTCCTGCCAGGCTGAACATTTGCTGCAGCAGGGGCCAGACTTACTGCAGGTCTGTCATTTTTTGCTCACTTAATATGTTGCACTAGTTTGTGGCTTCAATCTCATTCATAATGGAATAATGCCTACAAAATTATGACCAGCACTCTGCAGCCTCTTCTGCAAACAAATGCTCACTGGGCACCTAAGAGCTGCATCATCTTCTCATTTTCCCTTAAAAAAAACCAAAAAACCAACAACAGAAATTTCAGATGTGATTAGACTTTACAGTATAATTACTATCTTGGTAGCAAGAAGACAATTAAACTGAGTCCCCTGACAGAGCTGAAGGATGCTGGCAATTCCAGGTGTCACTCAGCTTTCCCTTTTGTAAAGCTGCTTATTTTCAATGCCTTTCTTTCTGTATTGTTTTGTATTAATATATTCCATGGGAGACTCCACTTAAGCAAAAAGAAATCAAGGTTCTTTCATAGTCATAATGCTTCTGGACCACTAGGAAAAACAGAGAAACAAATTATTCATATTAATTTACTGATGCTGAAAGGTGCGAGCACATCTCAATGAAATATTTAGGTCCCACACCTACTACCTCAAAGGTAAATGACAAAACTCAGTAGCTTCAACTATGTGCAATTAAGTCTATAATCTCACAAAGCTAGACTGCCTTATTCATTTTATTCCAACTCAAGGACAGTGAAAAACACCATCTTCTTAGACAAGTACTGGGAAAAGGGTACTAGTGGGTATGTTGCAGTCACTGTGCAAAGTGTCAATGGCTGCCTAGTTCTGCCCTCTCCCATCCCTGTGCCACAAGAAAGTCATTTGAGAGCAGTCCATTTTCAAGGAACTGAACTTTGTATTCTGCAGAATGAATTTATTACTGTGCATACTTTCTTGAAAGAATTCATTCTGGACTGAGAACTTTGATGTCACTTTCAGGTGGCTTGATTTGGTCTGGAAGATGTTAAAAGGGTGATTTCTAAATCAAATATTTATGATGGGATGACAAGTTCAATTTCAGCATGATAGCCAGTAAATGGATGGGCAGGATCCTTGTAGCTAGTTGAAATTTGTTCAGGTTTGGTGACATGGATGTCACATCATTCACATTGCAAATACTTCATTTGTGAGACTGATGTAACTAAAATATATAGATCAATGTCAACTTGCAGTCTGATTCCACAATGATGTAATGAGGTTCATACTGCCTGGGGTGGCTACTCCTAAATCATCCTTAAAGATAAGAACAAGTTTATGGAAGAATTAAAAGCAATTTAATATTAGCTTTTAACCAAGTAAGCCATACTTGTTTAAATGACAGCTAGTCTGAAGAGCAGAACCTATTTTTTTAATAGGTTAAAAGAATGATTAGCACCTTTTTACAGATTGAAACTGAACAGACTTATTCTGGATTAAGTTAAATTGATGAAAACATATCTGTGTAAAGAAGCTATTTCATTGTAGCAAGTAAACCTGTTATTGATGTATTTTAAACTTAATATAAGGTTCTTATATCAACCTAAGTACACACAGAGTGCTGTCTTTTCTCAATCACTTTTAAACTGTGCACATACAGTTCAACATTGCACGTAGGCAAGCTTGGATTAGAGGAAAGCATTTGTCATGTAGTACATTCAACTCCTTCTCCACTCCTGTGATCCCCTCTAGTGGTCAATTAATTGTCTGCTAAATGTTTCTCAGTACTACAAATTACTTGTACCTCTCCTGCATTAAAATGGTGTCTGGCTCCACTCTGTTTGAATTCAAGAGACCTCATTTTTTATTCTTATGCTGTATATGAGAAGGACAAAGCAATGAATCTTTGAAATGTGCAGCTTTATTTTCCCTTCTAGGAGCAGACAGATTGTGCCCACCACACAGAGAACCCAAAGCCATCTCTGTTGGCAGGGCAGAGCAGGAGGTGATGGCCCTGCTGCAGCAGTCAGCAGGACCCTCCCACCCCGTTCTTGCCATTAGGCTGGCTGAGGATGCCCATTGCAAACCTGGCAGCGGGAACACTTCTCAAGCGGTTTTGAACAGTGTAACAATTTGTGACTTGTCTTACTCATACAAGTAAATGCTTGAGGTTTACCTACCTCAATAGAAAACTGAGTCATGTATTTTGGTTTTTGTCAAGATTACAGGCAACTTGTAATTTAGAGATTTCATACAGATTGGCAGACCCTTCCCCAAAATTCCCATCTCCACCTTGCTGTACAGACAGACACCGCTGCCATTTTGTATCAATTCCAGCTGATTCAAGTCAGTGCTGATCCAATGCTATCTTCTTTTCCTAATCTTGGCTGTTCACCTTTATTTCTTCCTTGTGCCAGCACCAAGAGGTACTTGACTGCTGAAGGAGACAGCTAACTGGCAGTCCAGTGAAAAAGAAATTCTGACAAAACCTGAAAAGCTCTAGGGCACTGGTGACCCAGCTAAAGTCACACAGGCCTTCTGTTGGAAAGTAATGGCTGTGGAGTGGTGAGTCCTCTTCTTTTGGTGTTCTCACTTGTGTGCTTGTGGTTTGATGTTTATGTTTGTATATTGCAAAGGGCATGGGGCAAAGGCAAAAACCACACCCATGGGCATAGATGGTTACAAAATATGTTTTAGCCAGCGTTCTCATGATTCTTTTTCCCTTCTCCAGAGATGGGAAACTCAGGAATGGACATGGAGAAAGCTGTGGACTGCATGAATGGTACCACCATGAGAGAAACATAAGTGTACAATCACAACCAAAATCATCATTCCATTGTGGGTGTCAAGAGACAGTTTGGGAAATTCAGACTTGTCCTCCCTTATACACAGAACATCTCTAGCTCACAGAAAATTTGTACAATTTTTCAAGAACATCCTGTGGAATTAAAACAGTGACTCATACACATGCTTGGCTATCATATATATATATATGTATGTATGTATGTATGTATGTATGTATATGTATAAACAATGCTATCAAAAGACAGTGGGAGAAATTACTGATTTAGGTGCTTTCCTGTAAAATAAATTAGCAAAATACTTTTATTAGGAATATTTACAGCAAAACACACTGCTGCCACCTACTTGTACCACACAGTATCTCTTAAATTACCAGGTTTCTTTTAACTTTTGATAATGTTATGCTAGTTTCACTTCCAGTTGTTCCCAGTTCTTTGTCAGCCTGCATTATTGACTGATATGAAAACTTCCCAGTTTTGAGGAACTGTATAGTGATGAATCACTCTGGGTGACATACAGCTTTAAAAGAAGGAAAAGAGAAGTGGCTATTTCTGTGCAATTCTGTGTATCTTGTTTTCTCATGCTACAAACTGGATGTTAATGTTTAAAAAGGAGCAAGAGTTCATGTTCTGAATCTCTGCTCTCAGATCATGCTCCTTCATTTAGAGAAATTATGTTAGCCCATTTGAAACAAAAGCTAATCAAAGTTCTGTCACATGGTACAAGCTAGCTGAGAGCTGTGAAAGAGGTTGCTGAGGTACTGGCACTGATGTACACATATGGTCAACGTAAGTGTGTCAGCCTTCAGGATGCTCTTCCTTCCCCTGACTGCCATAAACAATGTTTTTGATTTCTAGATTACTGTCTGTGCGTGTGGGAAGATGTCATAGCTGTCCTGATTCCCACTTTTTAAAGCTTAGCACTCAATAAAGTACATCTTCTGTTAAACAGAAATAATTCAAAATAGTTGCTTCAAAAATTTTAGAGATTTCATGCATTAAGGACATCTATGTTGTAATTACTTCCATCCAATTGTATGCCTTTCTGATCTTCATCACAAATTTAGCCATTGGATTTTCTGAAGGTCCATATAAGAAAACACTGGTTAAAAAAGGTCAAAAGGGCTGTTGTGGTTTTACATCACCTGGCAACCAAGCAACATGCAACCATTCACTTGCTCTCTCCTTCTCTCCCTCTGGGGAGAGAATCCAAAAATGGAAACACATGTAGGTTAAAAATGAGAAGAGAGAAAGGGCTAGAAAAGTTGTGGGTTGAGGTAAAAGACAGTTTAATACATAAATTAGAAGTTGTGTATGCAAGCAAAGCAAAACAAGGAATTAAGTGACTGCGTCCCATGAGCCCACCGGGAGTGTTCAGCCATCCCCAGGACAAGAGTTAGTTGGGAAGACAAATGCCATCATCTCCAACTCCAAATATCCCCCCTTATTCCTTTCTTCCCCTGTTTTATATGCTGATCATGATGCCACATGGCCTGGAATATCCCTTTGGAGGTTGGGGTCAGCTGTCCTGGCTGGGCCCCTTTCCAGCACCACCGGTCCCTTCACAGGTGGGGTACTACGAGAGTACGAGAAGCAGAAAAAGCCTTGGCTCTGAAAGCACTGCTCAGCAACAACAGAAACATCTCTGTATTATCAACACTGCTTTCAGCACTACCCTGAAACGCAGTCCCATACCAGTCACAGTGGAGAGAATTCCCTCCACCTCAGCCACAGTCAGCGCAGCAGGGCAGGGGCACCACTCCAGAGTGGAAAATCTACAGGTGCCCGGGAGATACGGCCTGGACCATCTCGGGCAGAATGTCTGAGATGTCACAGAAATAATGCAGAAGTGCAAGCCTCAAAAGCTGCTTTTTTGAACCACGTCCCAGAGGGGCCTTGGGGCAGGGGCGGCAGAGCTCGCTGCCCTGGCATGAGCCGTGTCCGGAGCCCCAGGGGGTGGCTGTGGTCGCTGCCGAGCCTGCATCCCTGCATTTCTCCGGGCGGCCGGTTCCCGGCGGAGCGGGCTAGGAGAATGCAGCGGCCAGGGGTTTGGGGCCGCATCCGCAGCACAGCCGCAGGGCCAGGAGGAGACGAGCCGGGCCAAAAGGCAGAGCCGGGCCCCACCGAAGGGTCCCTGCCGGGCACAGGCGGGGCTGGCCCGGGGCGCTCGGCGCCCCCCGGAGCGGGGCCGGCCCGAGGGAGGGGCGGGGGCAGCCCGGGGGCTCCTCCCGGCCGGGGCCGCCGCGCGGCGGAACGCGGTGGCGGGCGCGGGTTGCGGCGGGCCGGTTTGGGGCGGGCACCGCACGGCGCGGCGCCGGCATGAGGGAGCCGCTGCCGGGCCCGGGCATGGAGAGCGACATCTTGGACGCGCTGGAGGCCCTGGGGTAACCGCGGAGCGGCGGCGGCTCCCCTGCGAGGGGGGAGGGCCGGGGCAGCCCGGCTGGGCGCGGAGCGGGCCGCCGCAGCCGCTGGCGAGAGGCCGGGCCGGAGGCGGGAGCGGAGGGGAGCGCGGATCGGCAGAGGAGCGGGCCCGCGCCGCGGGGGTGCCGGGGCTTGGCGGGCCGGGAGCGGGACACGGCGGGGCGGTGGGCTCGCCCGGCCGTAGTGCGGGAGGGCAGAGGAGCCCGGGGTGCGCGGCCGTGGTCAGAACCGGGGCGGCCGCCGGAGGCTGGCGGGGCAGCGCCTCGTTCTTTGGTGCCTGCCCACCTCCCGCGATGTGCTTCGGATGGTACGGGGCAAAAACCGTGCCAAATTGAATTTTTAGTTATGTTATTCCTAGTACTCCAGGGCAGACAGTTGTTACTGTTAGGAGGAAATTTGACTACACTTAATACTTGAGGTCTTCTCTGTCAGGCGTATTCTGAGAGATCAAAGTCTGTTTTCACATGCACATGTAAAAATGCCCGTCTCGTATTTTCTGACAAGCTATTTTATTTATAAATGACCAAGAACTTTTGGTGTGTTTAAAAAAAAAGAAGTCTGAATTGTTCCTTGACAAAAGTAATGCAGAAGGTTTAATTCATTTAAGTGTAGTTGCTAACCAGTTTACAGTAAAATAATTTGAAAATATGTATATTTTATATTATGTTTACTTCTTATTACTAATATTTATCTACCTGTGCAGGTACACGGGTGCCCTGTTGGAGGAGGAGGCTCTGAAAAAAGCAGCAGAAAATGGATTGTCTTCACCTGAATTTTTTGAGCTTTGCATTTGGTTAGGTTCCCAGATAAAGTCACTTTGTAATATGGAAGAAAGCATCACTGCAACAGATGGTATATGAATGTTAATTTAGTATTTGTTCAGTGGATTTAGACCCATACTGTTCAGCTAATAGTGAAATTACAGTGTTGAAGTTTACAAGAAAGCTGAAAGGTAGCCAGACTCAGGTTGATATTTGCATATATGTGGCTCTTAGATTAAGGTCTTCTGTTCTGAAGGCTTGTTTCAAAAGGGGAAAAGAAGGTGATTTAGGGTGGTTTAAAATATACGTAAATGTGAAAAGTACATTCATGCCTGCAGTCATGTTTGTATGGCACAGACTGCAGTGCCGAGTGTTTTCAGCCTGCTGGTCCAACGCACTGTTCCGCTCAGCACCGTGTGTGTGGATACATGAAGCGTTTGGTAGCGCTGCCTGGTTATTTCTGTTGAGGGCTGGAATTTGGCTGAGATTTTATATTACTTAAATTTTCATCAAAAAAGTAGTGGGACTAAAAGCAATCATTGAAAATAATGGGTTCATGACTCCTTGTCACTTCTTCATCAGAAAATTAGTTACATTGACATGCTATTTAGTGACATAAACTGTTCACTTCTTACTGATGGTCATTTGTGTTCATGTCTTCACAGACTGCTGTAGCATTACCTCATTCAAAGCATGAATTTCGCCCTGTAGTGACACGAGTACAAGATACTATTAGAAAGCAGTAGCTTCCTATAGGACTTTTTAAAGCAAAATATTAACTGGTGGTTAATCTTTGGATTGTTGAAATCTGCAATAGAAGTGTATGTTAAAAAAATAGGTTGCAGTTTGATGTTTCTGTAAAAAGCCATTATTTGTGCATTTATTTCCATAGGTGTAAAAGATATAGAGAGCTTCCAGCTTGAAATTAGTGGCTTTCTGAGAGAAATGGCTTGTCCGTATTCGTCACTGGTGTCCGGAGACATCAAAGACAGATTAAGAGAGAAGGAAGATTGTCTTAAACTCCTTTGTGAGTAATAGTCATTTTTCCCATTTATAATGCAGTACTTTATGTGTGTGCTTTATCATAATTGCACGATTTATATTGAAGAGTTCTTTATGTGTTTTTAAGTTGATGTGTACAGTCATTACATACTAGCTCAGCATGCATCAACTCACTTGTGCAAAGTGAAAAATAGAGCAGCATTAGAAAGCTGTTTAGCAGAAACTAAAATTTCTTTTAAAAGTGTGGTGCAACCTACTGAGGCCTCCTGATCCCTCTCTTGATCCAGTTGTTCCAGCTCACCTAAACTGAGACCTTGTTTCCTGTGTTCGTGAGAGGTTTCAGGGCAGCTTGAACATAAATGCTGCACAATTTGGAGGTGCTGAAATCAGAATTGAGAGAAGGACCATCTAGGTGTAAGTTGGACTTGGAAAAAGAAGTGGCAGCAGGAACCAGTTTGGTAATATGAATTAGGCAAGGAACTTGGGATCTGGTGGCAGAAGGGAGTTGGACAGTTAAATGCAGTGTGTAGACTGAAGATAGGAAGTCAAGTGAGAGGAAATTGAGGTAAAGAATGGGAGACGTACTGACCTGTTCCAGAGAGAACTGAGAAAGTCTCCCTTTTATCATGGTTATTTTACAAATGTGAGATATTGTAGCTGTACTGAGAATGTGGATGCAGAAATGCTTAAGTGTCTCTAAATGTGATTTTTCTCTCTAGTATTTCTAAGTACAGAACTTCAGGCTTTAAAGATACTGCAGAGCAAGAAAATTAAAGGCTCTCACTTGGAAAAGCACAATGAAATTATTCAGGAAGTGCAAGCTATTTGTGATGCACTGGGTCTACCAAATGCCTCATCTTCTGGTATTCCTCCCTTGTTAACCAGTGTGGAACAAAAGGTATGGGCTTTTACATCTTCTCAATATTGCTAAACTGTAAGCACTGTTTCTGTAAGCATTCATCATAGAGTTAAGGGCCCAGCACTTTCACCCATAAAAACCCTCTCTGAGAAGTGCAAAAGAATTTCAATTCTGAAAGCCAGCTTAGTGTTTTAAGTTAAACTGGTTTTGTTATGAGGGGAAGTATTTGAGCATTTCCCTGAGGTTGCAATGTACCTGATCAGACATATTTTGCCATGCGAGTTTAAGTTTTCCTCTTACCCATTCAAATGTGCTGTAGCAAGCAGAAAACTTTGGGTAATAACTGATTGTGCATTTATATACCTGTAGTCATTTCTGGAATGTATTTAAATTTAATATCCAAAACTTAAATTAGTCCTTTTTAGTTTATTAATTTCTTAATTGCAACTGTGGATTTGTTGGTGGTATTACCTTAGTTGCAGAAGGGGGTGAAAATGCCTGAATTGCCAGTATTCCGTGAATAAGCCAACTTAAACCTTAGTCAGCAAGATAGTTGTTTCTGTTGTGTCCATCCAAGTTGTAACTCGTATCACTGATGTGATACTTAATCTGATTTCCTTACTGCAGAATGTAAATAGGCTCTTGGGGTGGAATTTATCCTCTCTGTCAGACAGCTAAAAATTTTGCTCTTCTCTCTCTAGTGTTTGGGGAAAGAGTGATCCCCCCTGTAGGGTCGAATAACAATCCCCTCTGCTTCTGAATCTTTGAAATTAATAATTTGACATTATTGTGCTTGTTTTTTTCATTCTTCCTCATAAACAAGTGGGCAGTTGAACATTCAGAGATTTTGGGGAAAGGGCCTGTTACTTGCATGATTTTCTTACATCTGTCTTCAGTGTGACAAGACAAAACCTTTAATAGGTTAATTTATAAAAGGCATCACCCAGGTGCAATGGAACTGCCTATTCCTACTCTATAACTGTACTTGATCTGTGTAGTTCTAAGGAAGTCTTTACATTCAGTAAATATTTTTGAAGGGATGAAGAAACAATTCTAGCACTGTTTTGGGAATAAAAATATCAGAGTTAAAGCTGATGACTAATGGCTTGATTGTGCTGATCTCCCTCTGTAAGTGTTAGCTGTGTTTACATCCATGTGTGCTTCATGGGCTGCAGCTATGGCCTGTGACCTTCCTTGCTCAATTCCTTGCTTCACTTCTCAGGTGCACATTGAGTTTCATCCCATTATAGGGACAGGACTCCAGTTCTGCAGTTGTGGGACAGCAAGACCAGACCTGGAGCACCAGTTTGTTCATACACACATAGTGATATGGAACGTTTTCTTTGAATTGTTGGACACATGGTATCTGCCATCTTTTGCAAAGTCTGACATTTCCTATCAGACAGCATCACAGGCTTGAATTGTGCATAGTGTATAAATTGTTATCCCAATGTGTATAAATTGTTACACTTTCAGAAGTACTAAAATGAGCAGAATCTTAAAAGTGTTTTGTCTTTGATTTTGGCTGGGTTTTGTTTGGTTTTTTTTTATTAATTCTGCCTGGACTATTTTCCAATAGTTTTCAGGTCTGTCAGTTCCACAGTGGTTATACCGCTTGTACTCACTTCAGAGCGTAGAAAGGTGGCAAAACTAGTTCATTCATCTTCTGTGACTCCAAATAGTGTAATTTGTTCTCTGAGTGTTTCATCCCTTATGAACAAAGAATTTTTTCCTACCTTGCAGGAGATTTTGTAGAATTTCTGTGATGTGTTTACTTGTCCTTCAACCATTACTTTAATATAGGACAAGTTTGGAGTTATTTTGATAGATGACAGTTAAAGACCTAAACTTAAAGGTTTTAGAAAGGTAGTGCCACCAGCTGAAGTTTATTGGCTTTGTAAACATTTTTTAAAAGCACCATTTTATTACTTATTTTAATATTCACTTGAAATTATATATTTATTTTTCCAAATACTTTTTGGCTTTTGATTTAATTAGATTCTGCATAAAATTGCACTGTTCATATTTAGTATTATATAATTCATAATAGGGACTTACATAATGATCTAGTATCTTTAGTGTATCTTTAGTGTATCTGCACATGTATCTGCAACATTTCAACATGTCTGCTCTTTGTCTCTGTCTAGCATCTTCAGCATTGTCAGTAGCTGTGGGAGTAGTTCTGAGAATAGTTTGGCTGTGCAGCAGCAACCTACCAAAGGCCAGATCACACACTTTATTTTGGTATGGAACATTAGAACGTTTATTGTTTTAAGTGATTTTCCAGTTTATTTAAGAGATTAGTATAAAATCAGGATTGCTTTCTTCATTCAAAATGAGTTTTATAGTAGCTCCAACTTTGAATGTACAATCATAATAAGTAGCTTTTGAATCTCCTGTAATTACTTAGGGTAGTGTTTATCAATATACCTAAGAAAATGAGAGATAAATTGACAGTATTACAGCCTTCTATCACTAAGTATATTTTATTTTATTATACAGTACCGAAAAACTAACAGTAATTTTTAAGTTGTTTAAGATGTTGTTCCATTGTAAAGTATATTTACAAAGGGAGAATCTAGGAGTCAATCTGAAATTTATCTGAAATTTATTTAGGAGTCAATCTGGAACCAAAACCTCCATAAATTCTAAATGAACATTGATGAAAGATTCAGAGAAGTTCATGCCAGTGTTGTGCTTTGTAACTAGTGCTTACATCTGGCTGTTTTCCAATCAAGATAGTGTGAATTTCACACCTAATTACAAAGTGACATTCAAATACTGTTTATTTGAAAAAAACTTTTAATGTGATATTATTATTCAAAAGACTTCTGAACTTTCTTTGCCCACATTATTAAAAGTACTTTGCTACTTTTCATAAAGCAGTAGAATGAAAAGAAACTACAAAAGGCTTCTGAACAAACTAAGTCAAAATTAAGCTGACAATAATACTTTAGTGAAATGTGAGAAGAATATTTTTTTTTAATATTTGGGTTAAAATCCTAGAATTTATTATTTAAATTAATATGTTTCATTTGTTGATCTGTAGTAATTTTACAGATCTAATGGTGCCTGGACAATAAAGATTAATGTAACTGCAGGGAGCAAGACCGAAGAGTTGTCGTGTTCACCAGACATCAGAGGCAAAGAAAAATGAATTTAAAGTTAGATAAATACTGAATTTGTCTGTAGGTATATGAAAGACAGGCTTAAAAATATTTTGTGCTTTAGATTTTAGGTGATCTCTCTGCAACTGTGCAGTGCACCTTATGACTAATTAAGGCAACAGTCTTTCCTCAAAGTGTTGCTATTTTAAATTAATAACATGACCCCTTTCCACAGGTCAGTTTTTTTCAAAATCTCAAAAAACTCTGGAGGTGCATACATATATGATGTTGTTCTGTGCAAATGGTGTTAAAGGTAAAAATTACGGCTCTGTTTTGACAGAAGATGAGGATATTTAATAAATACATTGAACATGGTAATTAAATGGGTGCTAAATTTTTTTTCAGTTGTACAAAATTACAAAACAAATAAGAAATGTCATGTTCAATAAGGATACACTTTATTTTTTAACAGTAGAATAACTGTTAATTTTATGTAGCAGATTTGTATTGGCTATTTTTGTCTCAGATCCAATGGTTTATTTGTTTTCATTTTATATTGAGAGACTGTGTAAGAGACTCCCAAAGCAATCCCATAAATTTTTTGTGTTACCGAGGTCATTGATTACACCTATGTCAAATAGTCAAATATACTTGTCTACATCTAGTTTAAATTATTTGGTTTTATTTTTACACCCGAATGTGTAAAAACATTGGGATGATTTGGCTATTACTATTTGTTTTGTGTTTCTTTGAGTGTGTTTTCACTGCTCTTTTATCAAGGCACTGCATTTGGTTTTGTTCCCACTTACACGTGCGGACTTCTTTCTGGGTTGTGGTGTGTTTTTTAAACTCCTGCATATCCTTCTCAATCCAGGGCAACTATCATGTGTGGGAATATGGGTTATAGCATAGATTCTCACATACATTGTATTCTTATCCTCTGGCAGACTCTTGTGTGTCAGAGTTCCTGTGCTCATACCTCTTTCATCAGTCATGGCTGGACAATGTATTCTGCAGCTGTAAGACAGCTCAGCTTATTTCACCATTATATAGCTGTAGGATTTCCCCATAAGCCCTGCTGATGGGAGAGAGGAGTAAGTAGAGATTCACTAATCTGAACATGACTTTACAGTGTGTCAAAAACATAGACCAGTTCATGAGTGTAGACCAGTTAATCAGTGAAGAGATTAACTGTTACTGATTAGTAAAGCTGTGCTCAATAAACATTACATATGTGTTCTCTTTAACTTGGAAAGAAAACATTGCAGAAATTTAGGGGCAATTCCTCAGTCAGTAAAGGTTTATTTCATTTAGCTTCTCTTGTTTTTTCTAGTTTTGATTTTCATTGATTATCTTCCTTAATTGTTCTCTCTAAACTTCCTTTCACTTTTCAGTTCATGGAAATCAAGAGTAAGCAGTAGTGATTGACTTGTGATGGCGGAATATGTGGCTTTTGTATATGGAGCCCAATGTTGTGTTTACCTCTTTGTTGTTCTTGCAGCTGCAAACTTGAAATAATTCTAATCTCTAGGTACTATTCAGCATGACTGGCTTTCAGATCATCTTTCACACTCTAACTGTAAATTTCATTGAGGATTTTTCATTTTGTTGTATTAGTTTTTGTTTCAGCAGCTGGTCTCATTTTAATAGACTCTCTTTCAAACTTTGAGGTAATATTTCTGACCTCAGTGATACATGAATAGACACTTCCTGCCCACTATAATTTTTAATTTGTCTGCTGTTCATTCCTTCTTCTGTACTAATTACTCATCTGTTCATCTCTTGTTGTCATACTGATCTTACTCTATTGTTGGTTATTAACCTTTGATTTTGATCTTCAAACATTTATTCAAATTCCAACATAGTTTGTGCTTCGGTGTATTTGCATATGGCACTGTGTACATGATTCATTAAAAAAAACTGGCTGCATGCAGAAGACAGACAACCTTTGAATGTTTTTTTGTAAAGAAAAAGGTTATAGAAAAGCAAGAATTATCAGAGAATGAGGAGTATTGGGATAAGTATGGTTCATGGAACTGAACTTCACCCCTTATTGTAACCTCTTTTGTTATGAGTGGAATACACTAATTAGATTGCCACTTTTCAGATACTGCTAGGCTGTCTTTTCTGATAGAGTCAAAACTGTGTTTTCCCTTTATTTGTTGACTGCACAATATATTTACCTCAGTCTTTTTCTGGGATATTGTGTTTTTAACCTGCCAGAGTGCTGCCCAGCAGTGATGTAAAAAGAAAGAACAAAAATGTTGGTTTTCACAGAAAATTAGAGATCAGATGTTTTTCCTCATATACACACACACAAAAAAAAAAAAAAAAAAAAAGAGATAATTATAAAAATCCTGCCATTTGAGAGTTGATTTTCTAAGTATTTCTTTTAAAAATTAACTAGGTGCTCCAGAATTTGGTTTCTGACTTATGGATTGTTTTTGTTTTCATAGCAGTCATTAGAGATTATATTTCTGTAACATATGAAGCTCAAAAGTGAGCTTTGAACCATGCCTTTGTGACAAATGTAATGTAAATGCCTGTGTGCCCGCATGAAGTCTTACAATCCTTGCAAATATATCTAATGGCTGTCCCCAGTTACAGGTTTTACTGTAGATCATGCATTACCTTAATCCTTCCTTTGACATATAAAAGAAAATAAATTCTAGTTTTACTCATCTTGCTTGTTCCCCATGGTTATTTACTAAAGCAAATAAAGATGTACTTCTCTCCATCAGACTGTGCAAAACTTGCAGGAACAATAATATGCATGCAGTGAACTCCAGCTGAAAAATCAGTTGGATTATGTTCAAGCAATGTACAAGTGTTGTGGGCATTCATGGTAATGTTTGTAGAAGGGCTTTCCCAAAGGAAGTTCACTCAAAAAGAGGAGGTAGAGAATTCTTGTAATGAGAAGAGAACACAGTGGTGTTTGAAAGGTAGAGAGAGTGTATTTCATCTCTAATTGAGGGCAAAAACTAGTGGAAGAAGTATGAGCAAATTTGATTTGAAGTGAATGCAAAAGCTTTAAACATGTTAGCTGGAACCAGGTATAGGATTAGAATAAAATTAATGAGAAAGAATGACTGCCTGCCTGTCATATCTCCTGGCTTTCTTAGTAACACCCATCACCATATTTTTTTGTAGCCCAATGTAACATTTGGCAACACAACTCCAAACTTCCAATTGTTGTCATTGCAACACTTAATAGTATCTAAAATGAGTAATTTAGCTAGTCCAACTTCCTGTGTGCACTTGATAAATTTGCTATATAACTATTGTTCTGTTAATGGGAGGACAAGTGATGTGCCATAAAATATAATGAGATTGTAGCAAATTTTGCTGAAATAAATCTAAATATTGTTTGTATTCTGAGATGTATGTGGTTTTTTTCAGGTGAAGGACATTCTCTCAAAAGTTAAAAATAACCATGTGGGGAAATCACTGCTAACAAAACCTCTGAACTCTGACCAAGTGGTAAAGAAGTTTCTCCATTTTTTTTCAGTATTTAACAGGATGGTCAAAATAAATGCATATGGCTTCATTTAACTTTGCCTTTTTACAGTCACTGTTCTATTGCTGAATATTAATACTGAAATTCAATTGCTATATGCTAACAGTGATAATCAGATAATTCCAGAATTGTCATTATAAAACAGACCTTGTGTTGATTCTTCCATTGTTCATTTTCAAATAATTTTGTACATGCATACTACTGTAGCATTACACAGATGCTATGTAGTTTATAGTGGTTACCTCAGGATAGACATCTTAGTTGATGGATGGGGTTAAGTTTCAATTGACCTCTATAACTTTATGTATTTGTCTGTTTGAATTTCTTATTGTAACACTGCAGGAAAGATTGGAAAAAATCAATGATGCTCTTTGTAGTGAGTACGAGTGTCGACGGCGGATGTTGATGAAGAGGCTCGATGTGACTGTGCAGTCTTTTGGCTGGTCTGATAGAGCAAAGGTAAACTTGATGTATTTTTTGCTTCCTGTAGGTGGGAGTCTGCTGCTGTTCCCCAAGTCTTCCTACAGAATATGCATGCCATGGAAATACACAAATACACTTCCATCACTGTTATCTGTTTTCCAGCCTGTTCTGATCTCAAGTTGTAATATCCAAATCCTAGGTATTGAAGAAGGGGATGAATTTAATAAGGTGGCACAGTCTGTCCTTTGTGACTGTTTGCAGCTTCACAATTAGAAATTTTAGCATCCTTTGTTGGGGTTCCTCACTTTGATTAAAGTTTCCATCTCCCTATTTTCTGTATCTAACACCCTCCAAAGAAGTAAACTAGGAGGGAGCCTCTGTACCTTATCTGATGCAAAAGTAAGACCAACACTGGGCCTGAACATAGACTGGTATAAAGTCTGAGAGGTTACAGTGACTGCCCCCTATCTTGGATTCAGTGCTACTAAATGAACAGCTGTTTGATTGAACAGGTTATTTGAATACTAGCTTGCATGAGAAAATCACACAGTTGTTTGTATTCCTTCAGGTCACTAAAAATTCCAAAGCACTCCTCTGTATTTGTTCTTCTGGTATTGCTTTAATTGTGATAATTTCATTTGTACTATTTCCTAGAACTCTATATATTTAAAAAAATAGTCACAGTATTTCCGAGCTGGAGATATATCTTATTTGTATCCCAAAGAGTAGGAGAGTAGGAAGATAAGACACACAAAGTTCACAAAGTTCGTCGTTTGATGAAGGCACATGCAAAAAGCTGGAGGTAGATGGTTTTGTTCATTAGCAGCAAGAACAGCTTTCCTTCAAAGGTTTCTTTAGAAAGCTTAAGATGAATAAATCTTGGAAAGCTTACTGAAAGTATGGATTGTTACAAGTCTTTCTGACATCACAATTTGTCATTGACACATGCAGAATTAACCACATGAAGTTCACTAAGTATCACTGGAACACAAGTCTACTCACTGTTTTATTTCTGAAGGGGTTGTGAATGCTTTTATGCTGCAAGAAAGGAAAAGGGGGGCATTTAGCTCAGAGAAGCCAGATGTCCCTACTTGAATAACTTCATTACAGCTGTACCAATACAATTAGATATCTTCAAATTTAAAGTATACTTCTAAAATTTAATTGATGTGACTGATCACTAACTTAAGCAGACTTTGTCACTTGCTATTGTTCCATTCAAGTAATCTGAAAAGCAATGAATGCCCTTTTGAAATAGAACAATAGTTTAAAGAGATTTTTGATGATAAAGCAGTCAGATGATTCGTTTTCCTGTCTTATAAAAACTGTTGATGTGAAATATATGCAGTTACAGAAATAACCAGGTTACATACTAATTAAAAATAACATACTGTTTCAAATCTCTTTTTTTCCCCCGTATTTCTCTTGATGGATGTTCATAACTTCTTTGAGAAGGTTTTGGGGATTGAAAATGTTCTGGTATTGATATAATTTAGAGTTGTTGTGGTTTTTTTTAAGCCAAGAGACAAATTGTTGTCTCTTTAAAATTTGTTAGCTTGCTTTTTTTTCCCCACCATTAAATAGATATTGATACATTTCTCTGCTTTTGATGGTGTGGCATTTTGGGGATTTTTTTATTTGGGTTTTTATAACTTGTTCAGCCTCCAAGAGGGCTAAGTTTGCAGACTGAAATGGTTCACAAATTATGGAGTAATTACCTAGCAGAACAGTCTTGTAAAGGTTCAGCATGTATTGTCTGGTCTAGCCAATATTAAATGCTTTATTTCACTCTGAAGGTTATTCTAGATTTTCCCAGAAGGTATATTTATTTTTCATTTCTGCTAAATAAATGAAGCATCAGATTATGCTTGGAAAAAATCTAATGTTGTCTCTTTCTCAGTTTTGCTGCATTGATGTATTTTCTGTTTTTTTCCACAAGTTTGCCTTATGTTGAAGCTGGTCTGTTTTCATCATATTTAGAAGCAATCCATTGAATATGGTTATATAAAGCTTTCGAGAGAGCAGTGTGGACTCCTTAAGTTTTAGTCTGTAGACATGTTGGAAGGCATTAAAGAATCTGTTTGATGCCAGTGGATAGAGGAGTTTCTTTTGTACTGGTGCTAAGTTTCAGCATCAATTAAACACAGTTAGCAGCACTTTCTGTGTAATAGCTCCACCAACAGGAAGAGAACTGGTGATAACTGGCACTATGCTTTGTAATATAGTTTGTATGTTGGAAGCTACACCTTGTGTTCAGAGTGAAACTTACTGAGACCGGCACATTAGTTATAGTAAGTCTGTTGGCGTGTTTGGTACTTGGCAAGTAAGTTGTGTTTGGTGCTACCCTTTAGGTAAAAACAGATGAAATAGCACGGATCTATCAGCCCAAGCGCTATGCGCTGTCTCCAAAGTCCACCATTACATTAGCTCACCTGCTTGCTGCTCGCGAGGATTTGTCCAAGATCATAAGAACAAGTAGTGGGTCCACACGGGAGAAGACAGCCTGTGCTATCAACAAGGTATGCTTTTCTGGCATGTGATAAATGGGCACGGGCATTTCCAGACCTCTCAAGAGGAATTCTGGAATTCCACTGCTTTTGCTTGGTACCTTCATTTCATTTTTTCCATTGAAGAAAGGAAGGTTTGCAGTATTCCAGTAAACATTGTAGAAAGTCCTTTTTTTTATCTTCCTAGACAGTCAGTCATGCAACATGATGCAACAGTGTAGATGAGGTGGAAAAGTGGGGGAGTGTATGTGTGTGTAAATGACCTCTTGAGTTCAGTGGAACTGCACACCTCAAGGATACCTATAAGTATTTGTGGTATAAGTTCCTGAGCTACCTTGCCAGGATATTATTGTTTGGTTTGTAAACCCACTTCTCTAGTTCATCAGTGTGTTATAAATCACAAAAGTTTCTGTAGAAATGTCACCAGCCAAATTTTCTGGTTTGGCTGCAGTAATGAATCAACATTTTGCTGTTTTCTTGCATGTGATAAAAGCTGAATCTTGTGAGTAGTGACATATGAGTTTCACCATTCAAGTGATGACTAAACTTGATTTTATTGATTCCGTATTTACAGATTTTTCTAATGTTTTTTGCCTCATATAGATACTCTTTCATATGTTTTGATCCTTAACACTCTGAAATTTCTTAATTATTGTAGGATCTAAGAGAAAGGTGGGGTTTTTTTTCTTGAGAGGACTTTAGTTGGAATGCCTGGGACTGATCATGAAATGTTAACATTGATCACATGGTGTTTAGGAAATACAAAAGCAACAACAAAAATACCTACTTGGCTACATGTTTGTTCTTCGTAGATGTTTGTTTTGTATAACTTTGTCCAGTGCATTTTCTCTTCTTATACACTGAGTAATACTTGCCATAGTCAAGCCTTTTTTTTTCCCTTTTATTGGAAGTGTTACTGCAGCATGTTTTGTTTATTCAGGCTCTTTACTGAGTGTCAGTAGTTTCTGATTTTAGGCAGACTGGTGTGCCTTTGAGAACTGCACATCAGTTTGTCAGTTGGTTTTTTTTGTTGGCTAATTTGAACTTTAACTTTGAAATTGAAGTAGAAGAACCACATCATAAAGGGTCTTTTCTGTATGAATTTATATGTGTATTTGTATATATGATATGTGTATATATTGCTTATTGCAATACTAATACTTCAGGTGTGCCGTGTTCTTCATAAAAAAATCACAAAAGTAATATGAGCCACCTAGCTGCAGTTATTTCTGTTTTAGAGGTGAAAAATGAGAACATTTTCAGAGTTCTGTTGTGGTGTTATAAGGACAGGAGATAGTGATTCTGCTGTCAAGCACTGCACTGAGAGGCAGTGTCTCTTCAAGTTATTGCTACTATTTTTTAACTGTGAAAATGACCTATTTTCCCATACAGGTTCTGATGGGGAGGGTCCCTGACCGTGGAGGCAGACCAACAGAAATTGAACCACCTCCTCCTGAAATGCCTCCATGGCAAAAAAGACAAGAAGGTGGTGGAAGAGGTGGCTGGGGAGGTGGTGGTGGTGGTGGTGGAAGGGGTAACTGGGGGGGTGGAGGGGGCAGAGGAGGAGGAGGTGGAGGTTTCAGAGGTGGTGGAAGAGGTGGGGGCGGCTACCAGGGTGGGGGCAGCTACCAGGGTGGGGGCGGCTACCAGGGTGGGGGCGGCTACCAGGGTGGGGGCGGCTACCAGGGTGGGGGTGGCTACCAGGGTGGAGGTGGCTACCAGGGTGGGGGCGGCTACCAGGGTGGAGGTGGCTACCAGGGTGGGGGCGGCTACCAGGGTGGAGGTGGCTTCCAAGGTGGCAGGGGAGGTTATGGTGGCAGGGGAGGCTATGGTGATCCATATGGTGGAAGGGGAGGGGGAGGATACCGAAGATACTAGAGCACTGTACATCTTAACAGAACAACTGGCAGAATATAGTGGTGGTGTTTACTGGTACTAGGAATTTAGATTTGTTGACTTGGGTTTAGGTTAGAATTAAGTATGACCATATGAGTAATTTCATTAGACCAACCGATGTTCTGAGTTCTCTTAGTTAACTGAAGTTTTATACTGAAATCTGATGACTGAAGTCCTTGTTTTTCGTACTGCTTATATGGTGTTTTTTATTATGTCATTTTATTTAAAATAAGTCTCATAAAACTGAATAAAACACTTTGTAAACAAACAAAAATGTATTAATGGTCAGACCTCTCCAGTTATTGCATGTTGTATGTCTACCCTCTTGCTCCAAAATGTTGTGTAGATAAAACAAAGTAGGCCTAAGAACTGGATGAAACCACTTTTAAAAGACTCAAGAATGCTGCTTTCAGGCTTATTCTCTTCATGTCATTGTTCTTCAATCATAGTTTTCATGAAAATTAATTCATTAATTCACTCATGTAAATGAATTTTAATTTCAAATGTTAAAGTCCTTAAGGCTTTGATCAAAATTACTCAATTAGATTTGATTATTCTTGTAGAACTGCACATTATAGTAATAGTATGAATTAATACTCTGCACAAATTAATCAAATCAGGTTATTTTTTATGTTCATAATGTATCAAACACTCTTTAATGGTCAGAGCATGTGATGACTGTAAAGTCATCATAGTGAGTTTTGATTGTGTCTTATTTTCATTTTACCTGTTTTCCATTGTGGATGTTTCATGAAAAAATTTTAAAATCAGATTGGGCAGAAAAGCTGCAGCCATCATTTCTGGTATGAATTCATGTGTATATCCTTGTGTATCAGCTTTGAGACACAAAATTTAAATAAGCTGAGCTTTATAAGAAAGAACATGACATTTCTTCTCATCTTTTTTACTTTCCCATTGTTTTTTTTTTAATTATTCTATTCTCCCTTACCTTTTCTCAGTGATTTCTCTCTCTGCCAACCTAAAAGAAGCCCTGTGTTGACATGGTATGGGTGGGTGCCTTGTCCATTACATACACTGTTAGTCTAGAAGGAGTTAGCTGCCATACCATCATGGCTGTAAATAGATGCAGAGAGGAATTAAATTTAGAACTGTCACTTAAAAAGTCAGTTCCTGCTGCCCGATATCTTTTAGATCGCCCATGTTGTGAGGCCGCTCCTGAAAACAGAGGTAGAAAGGGGGTGCCGCCTGAGTTGGTTCTCATGACAGCGTTTATCAGGGTCAGGTCACTACAGAGAGATTCAGGAAGGCATCTGATTAACCTTGTGTGTCAGATGATTAAATAGCACAGCGGTCTTGAAGCACTTGTAATTGTAGGCATAACTGCAGGTTGAACTTTTAGATTTGATTTTGGATTTATGTTCCTCAGTTACAAGTTCTTTCTGCACAAGTTTCCTATTGGTGTCCATTGGGACACTTTAAAGATGTTTGGTTTTTTTTTTACCTTCATGAACATACATATCATGTCCTGTTTCATTGGTAACTTCATGCATGAATGTAAAGTTCTGTTCCAAATCAAATTATCTTTCAAAAGGTTTTCTTCTGTTATTTCCTCTTTCATCAGTTTGCTTGAGAATGCTGCTTCTAATGTGATGTGTATGGCATTACCGGGGCTTTAGGGTCACAGCAGGTGCCTGATAAAAAGCAGCAGAAATTTTGCTTGCTAGAACATGTTAGCTGGGATGTGAACTTTTGCAGTAATGGTTTCATGTCACCCAACTGCTAGCACTGTAGTTCCTTTGCCAAATTTTTATTATGCCTCTTACTTGCCTAAGCTCTTGGCAGCCTCTGCAGTCATTATGGAGAGACACCTCATGGGTCACATGGGAGCACAGTACTGGTTCTCTTGATTCTGAGATTGGTTTTTGCCTAACGCTCTGCAATAGCTCCCAAACCAATGACTTACCAAATGAGGCTGCTGGCCTTGGAGCAAAGTGTTGCTCAGCAAAGGAGTAGAGAGCAGCTTTTTAACAACCAAAGCTTTAAGATTAAATCTTTTTGCTCATCCCAGTGTTACTTTTTGCTACAGATAATCAGCAGTCAAACGTGTGGCTTCATCAAGGAACTACACTCAGAAAAAAAAAATGACTTATCTATGCCTAAAGGTTTCATTAGTCTTAGGATGCAAGATTGCAGCAGTTTAGTTAGATTGTTGTAACTGCAGATGTAGATGTGCCTTGGTGTTTTACGCTCATCAGTCTATCCTGTTAGTAGGCAGGACAGTTCTGAATGAAGTAAATCATCAAGTGAAGCAGATACATGCCCACTTCAATTCTAAGTTAAATTATTTCAGTATCATATTTCAGTTATGTGTATGTAGACCATATAAAATATGGAAATACAAACGGCTGGAGATTTTCTTTTTTCATCTGGCCATGTCAGTTTTTCTTAAATAACTTGAAAATGTGAAGCCAGTAGTTAAAAAATAAAGTAAGCACCACCATATTTCATGGAGGTATCCTTTGCTGTCCTTTTGTCAGAATGTATGCTTTTAATTTCTTAAACAATGCAATAACACCATGAAAGTAATTGATTTAAACCTCAAGTTTTGTCATGAAAAAAAGTATTTGCAAAAATTCTGTTGTAAGTAAAAGATCTTCATATATATGTTTGTGAACATTTTTGTGTTTATTCGCACTTAAGGAATACCTAAGTTAATATTGTTTCGTTTGTTGAAGATCTGAAAAAAAAAGGCTGGGGATTTTTTTCAGGAATTGAGAGAGACACTCTTGTCAACAGCTGTAAACACTGAGGAATAAAGTACTGTATTTGCAATTATTTGCATCATCTCTGTCTATTGTGATTTGGATCCACTATCATATGTTCCTCTTTTGTTTCTAAGAAGGAATTTCTGCTGGTGATATACAATAGTGGTGAAACTTACTTTTTATGGTAATGGAAATAACATGTATTTTGACCAAAATGGAGAAGGCAATAGATAACTTCATAGAAAAATTTTAACAGGCAAGGTAAGTCACAAGTCTGGGATTTTGTCTGGGATTACTAAGGAATCTCAGTTACATTTTATCTTACTGAAAAAAGATTTAAAAGCATAGTGATCTATATGATCACTGCTTTTGTCTTTACATAAACTAAGGAAATATTCTCCAATTACTTCTCAAGTTTTAATTTATTACTTTCTATAATTATGAAAAAAACCCACACCTTGTTTTGCATAAGACTAGAGCAGATATGCCATAAAATAGGAGTTTCACCTCTTGTTGTCTTCTCTCACATGATTGAAGATAACTGAATGGATGCCCATTTCCCCATATATAAACCAATTTAGAATATGGTATTTTGAAGTTTACTATAAGGTAAATAGCAAGTCTAGGGTGCTACAGTTCTGCCTGTGCAATAGGCAGCATTAGCAGACATAACAGAAGCCTTGCTTAAACTCGGCTACTTCACAATCTTTTCAAAATTAGCATTCTCAACAAAAGTGAGAGAGTATGATAATAAAGATGGGTGCTTTGTAATGCTTGGAATAGTGAGTAGTAACTCAATGTTTGTACTGTGTCAACCACTAAAATACTGAACAAATAATCTGCTAATTCCTAGCTTCCTAAATTTTCCCATGCACCATTCCAAGGCTCAGAGAAGGTGAAGCTGGTCTAGACACTGTTACTAGGTTAATGCTGCAGAAGGATCTCAGATGACAGTCAAGGAAGATGAGTATAGGTTGTATAGATTTCTCTGAGATACAAAATCAGAGGCAGCATGAAATGAAATTTTAATATTTTTCTATCATAAATATTAAACCAAAGTCTTACTATTTATATAAAATCTTTACAATCTGTACACTTTTTCAATCTTCTCAGACAGCATTAAACTTTTTCAAGTTGCCATGGAGGTCAGTTACAACAAAATAACAGATGCTGCTAGAACAAAAACATATTTCCAAAACATATATGAGATAATCTAACAGCAATTGTATTTAACCTGAATATGAACAGTAGCCCTGCCTTGTAAATTATGATACTACTCAGTCTATTTACTTTAAACAATCCGAATTCACACTTAAAAAATAATGGGGAATGAAGTTTGTTCTTTCTGCCTTCTTGTAAGTAGAGCTGGACCTAGAGGAGGAAGTTCCATTTGAGAACAGGGTTTCCATTTGACTTAGCCATGACAAGGTAAATTTCAGTATCACTGTTTGATAACATGACTTCTAAACAGCACTTTTAATTGTGTCTCTTTTTCCTAACATAAGGCAACTTGAAGATTAACTCAAAGGCAAGTGATTCTTTCTGGGTAGCATTGTCAGTTTTAACAGTTTCCCTGTAGTCAGGTTCCACTGTTAAGTCTTTCATACGGGAAAAAGGAAGTCCCAGAAGAAAAGAAGGGACTAACAGCACTTTAGGGAAAAAAAAAAGAAAATAAAAAAAAAAGGTGGGGGGGTTGAGTGGTGAGGAAGGAGACAACTTAGGGGCTTTAGGCAAATAGAGAACCTGAAGGTACGTAGAGAGCTCTGAAGTTATCCAGGTATCAGCTGACTTCTTTGAAGCAGGAAGTTTTCAGCACACATGAAGCACTGCACACTTGTTCTGAACGACATTCCTGCAAACAGCTCCTTTTTAAATAACAAGCAATCGTCACAGAGAAACATTAACTTAACACTTAGGACTGTACAAATCTGTGGTCATAACTCAGTTTGGAGTATTAAGTAGTTAGGTATACAGTAGCCTTTGGGCTAGCTGCTCATGTTAGGGCATTTTGCTTTTAACTACGAGGTTATGTTCATGAACTCCACATTCCATCATAGACAAAGATTATGTATACACACAAATTCTATTCAAATCCAGAGTTTGGACCACCAGTGAGCACTTACCTTGGCTGTACAACAAAATTTATGAGGCTTAGCTGCTCCTCTGGGGTATCTTTTAAATAAGTGAAAATATATTCAACTTTTATCATAATAGTTGTAGAAACAGACATTTATTTGCTAAATGCCTACTAGACATACACCTTGCTGTAGTTCCCTGAATAGAGGACAAAATCAAGAAGTTCACAGAAAATGGGCGAACCAAGTTTGCAGACATGACCTGACAGCCATTCTGATTGCCTCACTGACCAAAGTGCAATCCCATGTTACTTGTTAATTCAGGTTTAGTGTACGAGTTTAAAAAGCTGCACAGTCTTCAGAGCTGTTTTTTATATGCATTTCAGTTATTTACAGTAATGTTACAGAAAATCTACTACTACTACTCTTCCCCTCCATTTGTTTTTACTTATACAGAGAGTTGCAAGCACAATCCAATTTCCAGACAATTTTGAATCACTAAACTGGCAAGTACATTCAAATTAACTTCATAAATAAAGCATTTGTATAGTTGATAATGACTGTAAATTGTGGATGGAATGTTTATTTATGCCACTTTGAACACAAAGCGCAGATACTATTGTCATTGACTAAATTTCAGTGTATAATGGAACTGGTAATTTAGAAGTATTGAGCATTAAGTGGACTTTGTTTATGATGTTTGTGTGATGACAAATATACAACTCTAAGTGTACATATTCTCTTGGAATGCAAATGCAATTTTCAAATAGGCTATTTTGAGAAGTAGATTTATCAGTAACTTGAAAGACTGTTTTATTTTCTCTTAACAATATATACACTTTGTGTCTTTAAGTTACCTCCCTTGCACCTTTTACTATACAAAATTTACAGACATAGGAGCACACTCATCTTGACTCTTTATGTAAAGTGCATGTGAAATCTAGGAGAGAGAAAATGGAGAAATCTTGTTAGGAGCTCTGAAATGCAGTAGCTGTTGCACAGGGATTGCTGTACAGTTTCCCTCATAATATGGCTCTAAAGGTTGTGCTCAACAATGGCACCTACTTTGATGTGAGAGAAATATAATCAATCTTGTCCCATATCTACTGTATGGATAACTTGTTGTAAGGACAAGTTACCCCTTAAACCAAATAAGTGGAATTAAATGTTCCAAGTCATGGCATGGAAGCAGTATTCAATGTCAAGTCTCTATAGTCTCACTTGTTACTTTAATAAAGGTAATTGTTTAAGCAGCAGAACTTCTAAAGCTCTGAAAGATGCTTAAAAATTTTGTCAGTTTATCTTAAAGTGTATGGATCAATCAAATATCATTAGCTTAGCTACTTACTTTAATTTTCTCGTTAATTTTTGAATTAAATGTGACGTTCACTTAATGTTTTTAATTGGTTTCAGCTCCAAGAAGGAATTGTTTTCCTACAGTTCCACTTACTCAGCTTCATGAAACATTTGTTTGTATAAAACTGAGTTTGGAGTAAATTTGAGGTGACCCAGTCTTATGAATAGCTACTTTTTCAGAACATTTGTACAGTAAGGTATGCTGCTGGCAGCCAAGTAAGTCACAGGGAAATCAATATGGTCTTCAACAGGAATAGAGACTTCAACAACACTCTCACTCCTTTTAAAAGCAAACCCAGAAGATACTAGTTTCATTGCACAGATAATGCAGAATTTCCTTACAAGGTCAAAATTATTTTATACATTTGGGAGTGCATGTTTAAAAGGGAAATGTGTTGAGTGAAGAGAACATTTCCACTTAATATCCTTCAGATTCTCTCTCCAGTTCACTTGGTAAGCAGCTTTATCACAGCCCCTCTTTCAGTCATACATTCTTCTATTCCATAGAAGATTTTTCTCTCATCTGCTAGGAGCAGTCTCTGTGTTGTAGACCATCAACTACATTGTTTCTTTTCTGGATTGTGAGAGATTCAATAGTTTTGTGTGCCTGTTCCAGCTGGATCTTTAAACCTTCATTGTCTGCCTTTAGAATATTCCTTTCCTAAACAAACAAGAAAAAAAAATAGAGAATTGTATTTTATAATGCAATTTTTTGGGGACTGTCTGGTTGAATATTTAGCTTGGCTGCCATAAAAATAAATTGGTGTAGCTCTCATCAGAACCAGTAACTTATCTGAATATTTCCACAGTCTCTATTCTACCCGTTGTGTACACTCTGACAACTTTCCACCAGCTGGTATCTGAGTCATGTCCAAAACCTGCACTTATCCACCCTCCACTGCACCTCTCATAACAACAGTAGTCTGGGGAAACAACAATACAGGTCATACATTACCTCTCTCCTGCTGCAGAAATTGCTGTACCAGAAGCCATTCATTCATAACATCATCTGCTGTTTAGTAATGAGGTCGGAAAGAGGGAGCAAGGGCAAGTGTAAATTACAGGGCTCAAATGAATGGGACATTTTAAAGAATGCATTTCTACAAGTTACATCCATGCTTCACATCCTTGTTGTATTGAATATACTGTTGATTGAAAGGGAAGTGGTTTGTACTGGAAGGTTGTCTTATCTTGGTCTTAAAAAACCATTCATCTTTGATAAAACACCAGTTCACTTTATCAGCACACCAAGGGATATTTTGAAAGTGATAATCATCATTCAAAGATTAGAGTGTGCTCCTGTGGTCTTCACAGAATAGTGATAAATATTGAGTAAAAAGTATGAAAATAAGACCTTGTTTCTCATAATTATAGCTAGATCCATCCATTAGTTACACCTCTGGAATGGTAATAGTTTCAGTTATAGCTGGATCTGTCCATTAGTTGCACCTTTGAAATTGTAGCAGTCTCTTTGATCTGTCTGGAGAGGTGTTTGTACAAACCTGAATTTGGGCCATGTTTGAGGTGACACAGTCATATGAATAGCTATTTTGTCAGAACACTTTAGAGTAACCTGAGACAATGGGGCTGATGCAGGTGAAATCTAGCAAACATCATGTCTGTTCACAGCAAAATTTCTTGGTGGTGCTTACACTTACCAGTTGAACAAAAGCAGAGCTCCCTACCCTCTCAGCCCCATATATTCTGTCACTTGAGGGAGCAGAAGCCACTAAAATATGTTCCTCATTTTATGAAGTAACATTCTGTCCTGAGCGATGGGATTATGTTCACATTCTAAAACTGGCAGGGATCAGTGTGATCATAACAATGTCTTCAAAGCCCTGCACTAGAACTAAAATTTATCATTTAAATGAAGCATTGCTGGAAGTTAAGGTTTATGATGCCATTCATGGATTGTTTAATTGCAATTAAATTGGCAATCACTGGAGTGATTAAAGTGACGCATTTCCACCCAGCCACTCCCCCACACATCAACCACTTGACCATACTGTTGTGTAAAACAGAATTTGTACCTGCTCAAGTTCCTGGTATGAGGGTTTACAGCTGTGCTGCTCCTCCTTCATTTTCTGGCTGGAGTCCTTGTTTTCCCATTTAACAAATGCCTTTCTGCGGCCTAGGATTGGGCTTGGAAACGTGGATACTGGAGCTGCCTGGAGATAGGGATTTTCTGGCATCCTGTGTTCTTTCTTCTCTCTCCGCTTACGAGATACATCACCAGCCAGCAGTACAGGATCAGTCTGTGTACTTTTATGAATCACAGCTGGTTTCAGTCTCACGGAGATTTTCTGAGCTGAGGAACCCATGAGCATAATGGTTCTATCCTTGCTGTCTTCACTGTGCTCCACTACTTCTCCATTAGGAAAGGTGAATGATCCTTCTTCTTGTCCTTTAAAATATATATGGTAAATTAAGGCAAGATCTTCTCCCAGAAAAGGAAAAACAGGAGGTGTGTTAATTAAACATGATCTTAATAAATAAAACATTTATTCCTTACTGAGTTTTACATTCATTGCTCTCCAATATAGGTGTCATTAGAAGTTTCTCAATGTTATGTCCCTTGAAACAACTCAGCCCGTCTCAGTAACACAAATATGGATCAGTAAGAGGAAAACAGGTGTGGCATCAAGGTCAGCTTGAGAAAAACTTTTATATGGGTAAGAGGTGGTTGTTATGTAGTGCTGCAGTCATTTCAGACACAGTCGATGCACATATTATCAAGAGAAATGGGCTGCACTGAGCTCTGCATGTGTGCTAATAGGAAGCCTAAGGTGGAATCCAGCAGTATGAGTCTTAAATATAACACAAAAAATTGATAATCAAAGTGGCAGGAAGCAGATTTGAAGAACGTTAAATACAGTCAAAGAGCAGGAAAGAAATTCAAAGAAAGTGAATATACAAAGAGTTGGAACATGAAAATCAAAATAACAACAGAAGTAGCCTGGTGTTTTTCAAGGACAACATTCCTTCTTTGGAAGCCTACACAGTAATACACAGTAAGAAAATTTTATGCAGTTTGTTTGATATAAGGCAAAAAGAACAGAGAGGTGTAGGCTTTTAATTTCCAATTCTGTGGAAGATGGACAGATGGACAGAAGTTAGAGATTCAGCTACTGAAGTGGAAAAAATAAAAACAATTAGCTGTTGGTTTTCCTAGCATGCAGGTACATAGGAAAACTGGCTTTATAAACTCCACATTAAAATTTGAGTCAGAATTGTAACATTGCAGTAGTCAATGTTACAACTTGCTAAAAATCAAGACTTGCTTGTCACAAGGTGAGAGAGTTAAGGAAGCCTGTTAGCTCTTCACGTCACAGGGCATCTAGTTATTATGAGAGTCTAGCAGAATATTTACTCATTTTCTGGTGGAATTTGTGCACCATACATTGTGTAGAGTGACAAGAGATCTCCTGGAAAGGGAGTCCATCCTTAGTCTAGAGCAAGAATGGTGTTACTTGATACAAGCTAATATACTACACCTGTTTCTAATTTATATGTAGATGAAACACTGCAGTTAACTCACAAAACCTAAAAGGGTGCTGTACAACAGTTTTAAAAGAAAAAGAAGCAAAGAAAGGAAAAATCATCTACATATTTTGATCCTTTCTCACCAGGGAATTGTTCTTTAACTCCTACTGGGCAGAGGCTTGAAGCAAGAGCAGATGTTGGGCTGCTGTCTGCAACTGAAGTTTTGGGTCTTCTCTTGCACTCTATCACAACCAGGTCTTTGCACTGCTTGTGACAGTTCATCCCACAGTCTGTAAACAAAACAACGTTTATGTGATTCAGTGCCTCTGGTGTAGCATCTAAGGTAGCTCTGACACTACTGCCTTCCTGGGAGGCAAGAAGCCTTCTTTGGTGTTCTCTTTGTGCATTACCTGTAACAACATCTGTAAAACAACATCCCTTTGCTATACATGCCTAAAACTCCTTTTCATTATGAAAGTACCAAATTACACCATTCAGTCACAAAAGTGCTCTGACTGTAGGAGCTGCAGAGAAAGCTGATGCCTGTATGAGGAAGAAAACTGCAAAATAGATGTTAGGAATGTGCTGCACAATATTCACAGAATGGTGATGTTTGTGTCCAAGGGTCTGTTCCCAAACCCTCTGAATTCAGTCATGTCTTGTAAAGCATTAGAGCTGCCAGTTACAAGTTCCTTCATCTCTGCATTTCTTCTATCTGTCATACTATTGAATCAGTCCTGTCCTCCCTGGGAGGACCTCAGATGGGTCAGCAGATATATCCACGGATCTCAGGATGATCACAGGTTTTTGTTATTCCCTATCAATTATGGATTAAAATTAACAAAGTATAAAGTACTTTACCTTTGCATCTGTATCCTTGTTTAATGACTCCCCATAGCTGAAATTCAAACAAACAAAAAGCCTACATATTAATATATTTTTCTGCATGTTTGATACCCCCAGATAAAAAATACACTAAAAAAACACACTCTTTTCTAAGATCTGAGCACTTGCAGAATATCTTGTTTTCCTACACTTTTAATCAAAATGTCAAAATAGAACTATTTACCCCTTTAGCATAAGGTAAATAGAATATTTTATGTGTCTCAATAACAAACAAAATATCTTGAGCTAGTCTACTGAATACATCAGCAGATGTGGCAGTTCCTCGAGAAGCTTTGGAGCTGGAGTAGATGGGGAATTCTTCTGTCTCAGCACCCTTGTCTGATCTCAGCTGAACAGAAGATTGGAGGACAGTCCGTTTTATTAAACCTTCTGTGCCACAGGCAGAGGCATGTGATGCCTGTCTCAGGACATGAATTCTAGCAGCCCCGAGGAGTGGAAGGCTCTCCGTTTGGAAGTCTTGCCTGAGACTGTTTTTGGTGACATTAACCAAACCCCACAAAGTATGAACCATGTTTAAACATACTGGCACTGCCAAGAGGGGGGTAAAAGGTACCTTAAACATATAGAGAGGCAGAAATCTGGTGTTCACTGATGTTTTATATAGATCCATTTCTGTATATGACACAAGGCAATTTTGGGATAAAAAAGGCATAATTCCAAAGAAAGTTAACATAATTTACTAAAAATTAAGCTTACAAATCCAGCACAGTTGTCGCAGAAAGTGGGCCTTAAGTAAGTGGTCTCTTGGAAGTTGTGAGCAAAGCCAAGTCCTAATTTGGAATAGATTGAGCTAGCCCTCATGAAGTAAGCTGTTATTTCATCTCTGCTAATCAGACCTTCCCTGGAAGTAAACAAGAAAAGTTGTTTGTGAGACATAGCTTTTGTTAAATGCATAAGGAGAATTAAACATCTTTTTCTTCACATTTTATAATAGCAGTAGTTTAATGCACAAAAAACTAAAATTATCTTAGTAATCTTGCCAGTTGTTTCCAAAGTATACAGATGCTTATCTAAACATTTAAACTGCAGACTGACAGGATAAATGGAATATCTGCATATGTGATGCAACCTCAAAACTACTTCATAGTAAACCTCTGAAAAATCACTACTCTACTTTTCTATGCTCTAATATGTTAAGAAAAGTGTTCCTGATTTTATCAAAATATACATTTGCCAATTCTCTATTTTTAAGGGACAGCTTTATCATAGGAAAATTCTTTAGCAGTATATACTGGATATAATTTGAAAAATGATTATTTTTCTATTGTCTGTTTTTCCTTCTAAATGAGCTTGGATACCACTGCTGTAAGTCCAATGATGACGTCATGCACAACACATTTAGAAGATGCTTTTGTCAGTTATGTTTTCACTTCTGTCTGTGCCTGAAGAGGATGCTTTTAACACCCTAATGATACAATACAATTTAAACACAAAACTCCTTAAATCTCTTCCAAAACAGATACGACAAAGTTGATAAGCAGGTACTCACCAGTCCTTAGCCATTACACAAAATGAAAATGGGAAACTGGCAGCAATCTTTTCAAATTCTTCCTGGGAAATGTATCCGTCCTGATCATGGTCATAATTTTTGAAGACAGACTGCACGAGGGAATAATATAATAGTTTAAAATGAGGATGGTCTAAATTACCACTTTAGAAAGCCTCCTACATTATTTATGGATTTCATCTCCCATCTTCTCCCAGTGTGTATTAAACAGTGCAACAGTCTAATTGTGGTTTTTTGCTTGAGACTAAAAAAGCATTATGATTTCTTGATTTGCAGCAAAACATAAGTCAACACAGGCGTGACTAAAAGCTTTGCAACACAACGACAGCTGTTTTTTACTTCTGCTTTAAGACCATTCTGTCCAGGCCCACATATACAACTTATACTAATGCACTCAATTAGTGGTCTTAATGGTGGTTTCTGTAGCCAAATCAGTGTAGCTGCCTAGCTAATTTTATCAGGTCAGTGTTATGAGAAAATCAGTTATAGGACAGAATTGTCAGGCAGACACCTGTTTCCACTTGTGAAATGTATTACTGTTTGTCACTGGCCACAAGGCAAGGAGCACACCCAGAATAAATTTAGAAATATATTCCAAAACAGCATGCATCAAAGGATGCCTCACAATATTAGAAGTACTTAGAAAGAAAAGGCATGAAGCAGGCAAGCAAAGATGAACTATTTGCATCTCTACCTCTATCAGTTTTGGAATCAATCACCTTACTTAGTAGTTTCCCATAAAGCAGGGGACACAAAAAAAAGCAAATGCTGCTTGTAACAAAGCCACTGAGAGGCCTCCTGTCAGAATGCATCAGTAACATGATGGAGGCCCTGGTAGAAATGGACTCCCTGGCTCCCTGAAAGAGTGACTCTGCAAGTACCCAAACCAGTATTCACACCTCCTGCTGGCCCTTTACCCACTGAAGGAATTTCCATCTCTGCCGCACAGCTGCTGCTGCTACTATTTACAGGTAGGCAAAAGTATCTGTTTGTGAGGACAGAAGTCCCATTCCGGTATTTTCTTGTATCTTGAGATTAAGGCTATAAACATTTACCATAATATGAAGTACACTGGCCAACCTTACTTACATCTACCATCCTCTGAACATGTTTGCTGATGGTTTTCGGATCAGGTTTTGGGGCCACTCCTGAGGCCCAGTCTGCAACTACGGGTGGTTTAGAAGGCGTCATAGGCTGAAAAAGATCGAAGTACCACATTAGTACTACATGGAGAGATTTTCAGTATTACACTTCTTCCATTTGTGACAGTGTACTATGTGACACAGGATTGCAGAAATGACCTGTTGGACCCAACATCGTTCTTTTGATAATTACATGGTCCTTAAGCTCTTTCTTAAATTGTTCAAAAGAGCAGTCATTCCTTAAATTGTCACAGTTCACTGACAGCCCTGTAAAATTACCATCTTTTCCATATTAATAAAACTGTAACAAAAGTACCACATAACACTCAATGATTTCATCATTTGAATCATATAAGAATTCTCCATTTGAATAAAGTTGAAAAAAGTATCAACTGCCAAGATTAAGACTGATGTCATGTCTCTACACAGCAACTTCATTTGTCTTTGTGTTCATATTATAAAACCTGATGTGGTGTAAACTCTGCCACATATTCTATCTTAGACTTCATCATCAGCCAAACAATTTGTGCTTTAATAGATTTCACTCAGTCTACAAAGCTAAAGTGTTTTTAATTTAGCATATAATAAAATAAAATAATAAACTGAATGCAGGAGATAAAAATGTCTTTTTAAAAAATCCTGGTTTTAAAATACAATCACTTATAAAAGCCCTCCTCTTTTTAAGAATCTGTAAAGGCCCTTACAGCAGCTCGGTGACTTCGTGGCTCTCGTGCATACGAAAGTTCATAAATTTCATCTTCTGTGTAGTAAAGATCAAGGGACAGCTGAAAACAAACACATTAGTTTAATCCCAGAACAGTCACTACTACTTTATACACTTGCTGCTGGAGTGCACTCATATTTTTTGGTGCATTACTTCTTAATTTAGATTACACCTATTAAAAAATGAACTTGAGCTGCACAGGTGTTCACAGTGGTTTGAAATGTGTCCAATTCTACATTACAGACTATTATTGCCATTATTTGGAAACTTGCAACATGGAGTATTGGGAGTTCAGAAGCTCCTGCATTGAAATTAATATATTAATTTCAATTAATATTTAATTTTAACATATTAATATATTTATATATATATCCCATCATATATACATGCATGAAATTATGACCAAAGTTCTACATATTTGTAATAGCAGTTTTTATAAAACATTTTTTAGAAGGAAAAAATACTTAGAATAATTTCAAACAAAACATTTAAATAGCAGGAAGAAGTAAGAAGTTCACCATTTCACATAGCTGAATTTCAGCCTCTGGGTATGTGTGCTTAATCACACACAAAGGTGCTCCCAGACAGAACAAATAACCTCAGGCACATAAGCATATTTATGTATTAGCTTTTTCCTGAAGCAGGGCTTGTAACCAGCAAGTGGAAGTGGAGTACCTGGTTTTTCCAAGATGAGATTATTGTTAAGGCCAAACAAAACTGAGAAAGAAAGGAAGATTTACTCTTTTAATAGAAGGTAGTATTTTAAATTACTAGGAGAACCCAAAACTATAGTTTTAACAATGTCCTAGGTAGCATAAATTTTTTAGTAGCATGAGACTGACTAGATAGGACTGGGAGTGAAATACATCAACTGTATTTGACTAATGTTTATGTCAGACACTTTCTTAAGTACCAGAAGAGACTTGGTTAGAAATGCAATATCTTGAGGGACTGAACTTTTGTGTGATTTTGTTGTCAACACAAGGAGTCTTCCTTCTGACAGTACAGTGAAGCAGAAATGAACATTTCCTTCTCTCATAGAAAAAATTTGAAGCATACTGCTGAACTGGCACCTCTACCCTTGCTACCACATAAATCATCACCAATCTTTTCTCTTCTATTCCTGAACGTTTCCCCTTTGGGGAAAAAAAAATTACAACCTTATGTATTCATAGTTAATTAATTAATTTAATTCTCTATTTAGTTATTTGATAGGTATATGACATTTTTAATTGGATGTATTTATCTTATCTAACACACTTACTGTAAGCAAGTGAACAAGGTCCATATTAGCCTCCAGGGGAAGTGGCATTTCCTGGAGTTGTATCAGCTCATCTATGTGGTTATAGAGAGAATATAGTTTGTATACATTAATTTTTTTGTCCTCCAAGTAGTCTGGCATGCCCTCATAAAGGGATATCAAGTCTTTCAGGTGGACTCCAAGGATTGGGATCTTAAAGTTACTGCACTCGTTATAGGCACGTCGGTAACTATCATAATTTCTGTAAGATGAAAGCAATTCTGTCATTTCATTAAACACCTAAAAATAAGAAGAAAACAAAAAAATCAGCACTGGTTACTGTTTCTGCTTTTGTCATACAGCACAAGAACTTCCCATGTTATTGTTAAGGAATTTACTCACGACTCTTGAAAAAAAAAATTAAAACTTTGAATGAAATCTAGGTATTCTATATTTTCTATACCCATAAATTAGGTATTATTAGGTATAATTACTAATACATAATTATAGATGGGTAATATATAACCTAATCTATAATGCTAGTCTCCTTACACTCCCCATTTATTCAAATGAAAATAAATATGATTCTCTTGAATCAGGGCAGTCTGTATTCAGTGTGTAAGCATAGCACAAGCTCTCTGACATTCATAAGAGCAGCCATCTTCACATTAAAATGTGGAATGCATTCTCTGACTTTCAGGAGACCAGCTGGAGCTGCTGGAGAGGTCCTGGCAGTGAAACCCTGTGCTGTGCCATGATCCCATCATGGTGTGATCAGAAGTCATACTATGGTTCAAGGCAGCATACCTGTCTTTTTAAGAAAAAATTTTGCAAGGAAATGAATTAGAAACAGTATCTTGGGTTTTTTAAAGGCCAAATTAATCTTTAGTCTAGCAGTATAAATGTTTCCCTTTTTTAAAATTATACAGGTACAAAGTTGACTCATTAACATAATAAAATCAATGGACTAATGTTTCCTCTGGGAAATTCCTGTCAAAGTTCTCCATTTGTAGCCTTTACTAACTGTTTGATGTAGTTAAACCTCGAAGTCTGTTTTCAAGTCAATAATTACCAGCCTTTTATTACCTGCTTTCTATTAGCTTTCTATTACCTGTATACAATTTCTTGAAACAAAAAGTTATTCAAATGATGTGCACACATGCAATCCTTAAAATGACAAAATTTGAAAAACATGTTTCTAAAATTAGCTTTCTAACTGATTTGATAGATCCTGATAGCTGTAACCATTTCCAGTGGGAGGCCACACTTCAGGTCCTTACTCCAAGTATGCACTGTTCATTTAGGTTGATCATACTGTGACCAAAACAGGCTCATTAGATACCTTCATAGACTCTTTCAGGCCCAAAAAGAAGAAAGTATCTTATTCTTTTAAGAAGTCTTTTAAGAAGCCATATGACTGCTTAAGAAGCATTGCTAAAAAAAAAAAAAAGTGCCTTCCTTCCCTTTTTTAATAGCTTTCATTGGTATTTCACAAGAATTTAACTGGAAATTAAGATTCCTAACAGTCCACCACACTATGTGGCTAAATTTTTTCAAGTCTAAATTAAATAAAACCTGTGAAATGGAAAGATCAGAAGAACAAAATCAGTCCTTTCACTCAAAGTGCAGAGCTCTGTGCTAGCATTTTACAGATTAAGGATGATCCATGTTACTACAGAAGACAATAGTTTTGTTTTCAAGTGTTCTAGGATCCAATTCTCTGTTTTCATGTTTGAATATTATTCTGAACTACTGCATGTAAATGAAAAAGCAGCTCATCACATCTGAGACTAAATGAGAGAACTTAGAATCTATACAAGTCTTGAGGAAAGGTGGAAGTTGCAAGAAGTGTAGGAGTAACTGTTGATGTAGAAATTAAATAATAAATAAAAACCCTTCAAAGCCAAAGAAATTTTTTTTCTGTCTTTCCATCTTATCCAACGAAGTAGGGTTACTTTTAGTGTGTGCAGTGACAAAAAAAGTTAAAGGTTCAATTATTTGTAAAACTTAGAGAAGCAATACTAACCTTAATTACATCATGAGGAACACATGAGCTTGTTTCCTTGAGCCTGGAAATGGAACTGTGACAGAGACCTCCTATCACTGCCATTAATGTGTTGAAATTCTGCAGCTGGTGGAGCTTCTGTGTTCATATTAAAAAAAAAACAAACACAAAACAAAGAAAAACCACAAAAAAACAGTATAATTTAAAAGTTCAGGTTGTTCAAATTTTAAGTTCCTCTATTGTCTTTGTCCAAAGTCTTACAAGTTTGTGCCATTTGCATTTTGGTGCTGAGTTGTGCTTTTACTGGGTGTAACATGAACTTACTCTACTGTTATTAAATCAAATATTAAATTTTCAGATACAGTAAGTCTTCAAAGTACCTCTTCGTACTTCCCCTCTTCCCAGAGTCTACCACACATAAGAAACACTGCCTATTATCTTGGTTATGACTGCAGTTGAATTAGTATGCAAGGAATACAAGTAGGACCATAGTTCTCCATTTACCCGGAAAGGTGTTTCTGGTGGAATGCTTCTAATTACAGCCAAAGTCATGAGAGTTGCTCAAGCTTTGGAAAGCTTCCCAGCCACAACTGGGAATCTCACATGCTGATTCAAAAGCAAGCCTAGTTTTACAGTGAAATAATTTCTTCAGAATGAACATGAGGAAGTCCTGGTGCTGTGACACTCTAATAGCTGAACACTTGGTAAGAAGCACACTCACACAAATGCAGATGTGGCGTGTATGAACCAGGAGACCAGTGCCAACACTCCCAGCTCACCCTACGTTAGTAGGATGGGAAAAGCAGAAAAAAAGGCTGCATCAGAGAAAGACAAACACCAAACATGCTAAATTTTAACTGACCTGTGCAACATGAATAAACTTGATGAACACTTCAGCCCGAAGCTGTGGTGTTGGTCTGCTGAGCACCATTAGCTGCACCCACTGAGAGATACCATTGCAAAGAGAAATCGATCTTTCCATTGTTGGGTTCTCTTTCACACAACTATTCACAATGTAGTTCTGATAATCTGAGAACTTAAACAAACAAAAGAAGCTTAAATGAAAATTTATGTAGTTTCATATGCCTCATGATCTGTGTGTGGACAGAGGCTTTGCAAATGAAATGTAAACTATATCTTTTATACCTGAACTATCCATAAAACTAAAATCTTTCATTTGTAAAAGCTTTGTTAAGTTCAAAGCAGGGACTTCCACTAATTGAATTAACTGAAAGGTTTTTTTTTGCCATATCTCAGAAGTCTTGGCTCTTATAAATCCTAGGGGGAGTAGAACTGGGGCTTTCCTCCCAGCCTCAGTGACTTCATAGATTCATTGACTTCTATTGGGAAGGTTAAACAGAACTTAAATTGTAATCTAATAACTCAGTAATAGTTTAAGGGAGTTCAGAGTTCAGTTTATGTCTTCTGTAGCTTGGGCAAACTTCTGAATTAAGCTACATCAATACAAAAAGCAAGCTCAATGGGAGTAATACAAAACTGTGATAAGACCATTAAGAGTGAGGGATGCAGATTCCTTAATGCTTTTAATACAGCTTGTGAGATTCTCTTATTTGATCAAGGCAATATAAAATTTTTCAGTAGATACCTGCAACACAGTTCTTTTTTAAGCCGTTCTTACATTAAGATTAAAGAGAAGAAATAATTTGCTTTTGTTGATGCAATTTTTATCCATTTTGTTGATTTATCCATTAACATAAGTCCACAAGAATTTGAATCATCAGAAATTCTAACATGGGATTTTTACATCCATTCTTTACTATGGCCACTAACATCTTATCAAAAACACTCATAGCTGTAAGAGACATAAATTCTTTTCCACAGGAATATGTGGAATAGCATTGATCTTTAAGCAAAGGTCAGGCTGTTGTTTGTTTCTTACTCTCCCTCTCTCACCTTCTTGCAACTTCATAAATTTTTTCCATTTGTTTAATAGGAATTATTAGCACTTTAAAAGCAGATGACAGCAGACACCTCTAGGTTTGTCCTTATTAAACTAAAAATTGAAGAAATATTAGTAATAAGTAGAGCTGTCTCTGAGATTACATAGTACTTACATTACAATTACTCTTTGAATTTTGAACCCAGCCAGCTTTTGGCTGTTTTTTTTTATATTTAAGCAACTCCTATATACAGATAGATAATTTTTAAGTACCTGACTACATAATTATGAACTTCATAGCAGTTTCAGTACAACTATGAATATTTTTTTTTTCTCAGCAGTCATCTCCTTAGGAATTTTTTATTTTAATGCTGAGGAATTAATCTCTAAAGTGCTTCTTGAAAGTTTTGAATTAATTGTGGTACACAAATTTATTGAGGTCAACTATAACAAGCTTGTTAGTGGCAGATACGCTAAAGTAGTTTAAGTATTTAAATATTGCAAGAGTTATTGTGATGACTAACTTAAGAGCCTCAACAGGAATCCAGAATCCAAATTCTTACAAAAGATCGTGGCCTCCCTGTACTTTATGACTAGAGATTAAAATATTTTCTAAGCACCAGCATGCCTCCAGTCATTATTCTGTGAACACCACTCCTTGCATTTTAATTTGCTGCAAGATGGATGGGATCTCATGGAATATTTTGCTGTATGCTGTGTATGCAATCAAATATTCCCGTCTGACTTCCAAATGCCCAAGCCTTTAAATAGTTATTCCAGGGACTAGTAACACAGCTGGTCATTTTCAATCTTTCTCATGGTGTATGATACCATACTAGAATAATGAAAGGATTCTGCGGCTTAGCACATCATGAACATATTCTGCAAAGATTTAATTAATATAACTAATTATTAATTACATATTATTTTCTGACCCGAAGTCTCGGCAAGCTCAATTTATACAAAAACATATGCAGGTACCCTGCACATAAAATGCATACATGTATATAACTGTTGGAACTCCATGACACACCTGACACTCTGACTAAAACCATACTTGTTATACTCATTAATTACCTTACATCTGCACAGAGGTCTTGAAAATGGTAAGTTATATAAGCTTTGCATATTATTACTGCCTACAGGCAGCAATCTGTGCATGACTTCAGTTCTACAGCTTTTCCAGTTTCACACAAAACACAGAGTCACGTACTGTCAGCTCAAAACCAAGTACATGAAAACACGACTGTGAAATCTTCCACCATCTAGTGAGAGCCCCTTTTCTTGCATAGGTTCAGCTTCATATTGTAGTGTTACCAAATAAAAAACACCAAAAACAACTAAATAACAAGCAACAAAAAAAAAAAAAAAAAAAAAAAAGCACTGAAAAAACCATTTTGCTTTAAGTCTTATTATCACACAGACTTTGCAACCCTCCTAGATTTTGGTCCATAACATTAACTTTTCCATGTGTAAACTGTATCAGGTTTGAAAAGAGGCAATGTTGTACCATACAATGATGCAAGTGAAGCCAAGGTGCATAGGGAAGTTTGCATCTTAGCAGCTACAAACATTACTGAGACAATAAATCAAAGGAAAGAAAAAATATCTTAGATAAATCCTTAAAAAATATTTTTGTATATGAAAGCTTGTATAATAAAATATGTTTAACTTATTAAATTTGCATTAAATGCATAATTTTTATGCATTAAAAATGGCATTTTCTAAAGTGCTTTCTTATCTCTGGTCTTTATTTTGTTATGCACAATCAAAAAGGCAAGCAGAGTCCAGTGGCCATTTTCAGTGCAGTCCCTTAATCACTGCACAGGATTGCTGCACTGTTCACTACAGAAGGTTAGCACTCCAGGAGAATATTCCAAGTTTCCTTCATCCCATTTCAGCCTGATTACTGATTTGAGTCAAAGGATGCTGCCTGTTCTAGTGCCCAATGACATCCCGAGCTTCTTTGGAAGGTTTTCTCCTCTCCTTCCAAGTGATCTTGCCCCAGTTCTCCCACAGCTGAGGTTCATTCTCTCACTCCCATATGGTTGTAGCAAAAGGGTAGTTACTCAGAATCTAAGTTACATTCAATACTAGTAAAATAATTACCTTCAATACTAGTAAAATAAAAGAGTCTGGAAACAGACTCAGCATGTCCAACATCCTCTATGGCAGAGTTAATCTTGTACTACTGCCTACCTCTCTGCCATATTTCCTATGTTTTTCCTATATTTGCTTAATATTAATAAATAATTACGTAAATAAATAAAATAAAAATAACTTACTGATATTCTTCTGAAAGACTTAAACTCAAGATAGGTAAGGTGGTCTGACAGCTCCTCTGGCTCAAGGTGATCAAAAAGAAGTGACACTTTCCTTTTCTTACTGGTGTTGGCCTTTACACGCTGTGTCAGCTTTCTAGACCAATCCCTAGAATTTCTTTTAAAACACAATTACTCCAAGTTATTTACTGAAGAGCAAAATTTTCCTCATTTCCTAAGTCAGAGGTAACATTGTTTTCATGCCTTACTGCATTAAAAACTGAATTATTTGAATTTCAAAACAGCAAACTCCTTTCATGCATTAGAGATTATATGACAAAATATTACTGCTAGTCTTTATTGTATTGATGTGGCACTTTAAGTACAATACAGCTGTCTTACTAAACATCACGAGAGTCTATATAATTTCTGCAATCAGTTCTACATTTTCAGAATAGCAGTAACTTTGCCTTCATTGAACACATCCAGTGCTCCGCCATTTAATAACCCTTAGATTTCCTTCAGCAACCTCTGAGTATGAACTGTCTCTCTTTGCTATTGACCCACAGAGTAATAAAATTTATTTCAATTTGAAATGCTAAATATCCTCTATCATAACCAGATCCAAAATGTAAGCTAAATTCAGCTCTGCTTCAGCCTGTGCATTTCCAAAGTACAAATAGACACTTGTTTTGTCAGTTGTACTGTTCCACAGAACTATCTCACTGGGCAAACACGTCTTCCCAAGAAAGAACTATGTGATGTACAACTCTAGGATTTATTCTTGTCACAACAAGTATTTTATAACCAAAGTCATCTAAACAATATCAAGAGTCTGACAACACAAAAACTATATCCTCACTTATCTTTTTTACCTCATCTGTTATTCAATCAAATTTTATATTTTTTTTCAGTGATTTCAAGTGATCTTGCAAAACCATTAGGTATCTACAAATTTTCTAAGTTCCCTGGACAAGGTAAAACCTAGCTGTCATAGATAACCAGCGCAAAGTCTACACTGTAACTAAATTCAATCTAAGCCATTCCTGAAAGGCATAATGTTCCACTACATAATGTATATTTCATCTGTAATGAAGTATAAATTCTTGTTAGGATAGCTAAAATATTACTTATGAGAGACGTTATGTCAGAATACAGGAAATTCAGAGCAAAATTTTGTTTTCTGAGTATATTGAGACTTCGACACTCACATTTGAGATGTGTCAATTAGACGACAATGTAACTCCTCACCATTAGCTCGAACCACTTCTTGAAATTCCTCCATAGCTGTGGATAGTTTAGAGTCCATTTTGAACATAATCCAGAATTCTGTAATCCAATACCTATTAAAATTAAAATAAACATAATAAAAATAAAAGTTTTGATTTAGTTAGGCTGAAATTTAGTATGACCTGTGTGGCTTGTGGAATGTTCCTTTGGTCAGTTCAGGTCAGCTGTTCCAGCTGTGTTCCAGTCTCAAGCTTGCCCCCAGCCTGGCAGGGGCAGATGTGAAACAGAAGGCATTGATGCTGTGCAATCATTGCTCAGCAAGAGGTAAAATAATGCTGAGTTTTACTCACAGATTCAACACACAGCATTATAGAGGCTGCTATGAAGAAAGTTATCGCCATCCCAGGCAGACACAGTACCCAGCACTATGCATGTAAAAACCTGTTCTTGTTGGAAAAATGGAAATGCACATTTTTATGGATGCACGTAAGTATGAATTTGCCTGGAAGCAAAAATGTTACCAGATCTCACACAGTACTAAAGCATGCTGACATAACCAATAATAATCTGCTCTGAGATAATAAAATCATCACAATTTAAAACAAATTCTACTTTCTTATTACTAATAACTTCCCCCTTTGTTTAAAAAAGCAGTATCCTCGATCTATTAGAGCTGAATATTCTCCTTCTCTTCTGTTTTCTCTAAACTGAGATACTTTATTATACTTAACAGGTGAAAATTAGTGTTCCAGGACCATTGCAAGTAGAATTACTAAGGAGATTTACCTACCAAATGCAATAGATCATTGCTTAGCATAAAAATATCTGCAATATCTCACTTAATTTTTAACAGACCTATATAATAATACTATAATAAACACTTCTATCATTTCCTGAGCACTGTAAATTTTCACAGATGTTTAAGATACAGATTCATATAGACTCCGTTCAAAATTTTGATCTGACAACTCTTGCACTGATTTAAACAGATCTGCTAAAAGCCAATTGGACCTTTTTGTGTAGAGCTGCTAAACTGAATACTGAAAAGCTGTTTCTCTTTTAAATGTCAATTTCAGACATGAAAAAAAGTATTTATCTTTGTCACATGGACAACTGCAGACTAATGACTAATAGTACCAACCACAAATATACTCACCTCACAAAATAGCAGATCTTCACACACAGCATGGAAGAATTATTTTCTAAAGCATTAAGATAGGTAGAAAACTGTTAAGGAAAACCACATCCACTCACATATCATGTAAAATGTAACATGCTTGATATTTCCCAACCTGTAAGCAATAACAATCATCCTGCTGATGGCAAATATTATATCAGATTAGGGTTTTACATAAGTATATACAATGTATATCCCAAGGTTTTTACCAAAGTTTATTGCAATAATGACTACTATGAGTAATATTGCTGCTGTTGCCAGAGTACTGAGTAGTGTTAACCAGTGAAGGGATTCTTTTTTCTACATGTTTCTTTTCAACATGCCTCGCAGTTTCTCATTAAACTTGTGCATTGACACCTGCAATTAAAATTTGAAATATTCATACCATATTTATCAATCAATGCATTTATAAAGCAATGCTTTTCAGCTAAATCACTGGAGATAAAAAAAAAAAAAAGCTTTTTTCTTTTAAACATAACCTGTTGTAGACAATGGCAGAACAAAATGTAAATGCCTCTCCATAGTAACCTTACCTTTCTAGCTACAATTAATTTAATTTGCTCTGGTGACTGAAAGGAACAACCATATATTTAGTCTATTAGCTCCTTAAAACATGTTTTGATATTGTAGCCAATGTCTGTTGAAGTAATAGAAAATCCATTTTGAAAAATGTATTATATACATCTTGATTCTTCTGACACACATATTTTCAGGCCTGAAAAACATAACTTAATGAAAATACCTTGTGGATCCATTCACAATCTGATTGCAATTAACTGCAGCCTAAATCTACCACAGCTGAGGGGACATACCATCCACCCTTTCAGCACGCTTACACTAAGCTGACTACAGAACTGGTGAAGTCAGTAAGTTCCCAAATATTTTTAAGGGCCCCTCTCTGAATGACTAGAATTAGATGACTTACAAAGAACTTGTAACCACCTGAAATCACTCCCATAATTTATGGGATGGGAAACGGTGCAACTGGAACACTTGCAAGGTTTTGCAAAATACAAGAGCCCAGACTACCTGATCCATTCAAAACTGTCTTTAACTTTCAATGTCTTTACAGGGTGTTACACACAGAGTTAAAAACCAAGCTTGCAAAATATGCAAGTCTAATAAAAGTTTGAATTGCTTTTCTGGTTGTAGAAAACGTTCCATCTCAGAAAGAAGATGCAAGAACTGACTTAGTTCCATTTTCCAAGAGCTCAGGAGCCTAAGTGAAATGCTACACCACACCACAGCTGTAGCTTAGCACACTTGATCCATCACCTGCCATTAGAGAAGCAGCAGAACAGTCCTGCTACAGACAGTTAACGCTCCAGTAAAACTCTGTTGCCAAGGATGCTGCTTGTAAATGCTTGGAAGATACAGAGTTTAGGAAAGAAAAGATTACTAAATTGAATTGTATCAAAATTGGATGGAGATTCTTAGCATTACAGGTCTCCATCCTGTACTGTGCTCATCTAATTAGGAGTAAACATTTTGTAAAGCTAAGAAGACAGGTAACATATTCCACAATTAAAAATTCCAAAGAAAGACTAGTATTGTGAATATGATCTAGTAGCTACAAAAATCTAGTGAGCCAAAAACACACATAGGAGTTCAGGCAGTCAACTTAAAATAGGAACAAATAGAAAGGAAAAGCTTACGGCTAATTTCAGCAATTTTGAGCGTGTGTGAGAGAAATAATTTTCATTGAAAATTTTCACACCCTGATGATACAATTTTGTTCTTTGCTGTTTGACTTGATAGTGGACAGAGACAGAAACAGATTTGAAACTTAGCCCAGGTTCACAGTACCTAATTGAGGTGGCTGCACTCATCTGCATTCATCTTACACCTGCTAGATATTCCCACCACAGCCAACAGAGGGTGATTTATCCTACTTAAAGCCTGACTTGGAGTTTCATCTTTTCCTCTGTGTATAACAAGTTAAACCCAACAAACAAAAAACACCAACCCTAAACCAAACAAAAGCACACCATACAACCAAAAACTGTAAAGAACAAATATACAGCTTAATTAGTGGAATACTAATACACCCATAGATTAAATATCCTCTGCTTACCATCTTGAACTCGTCAGGCTATCAGGTTACCTTAAAAGCAGATGAACATTACAAAGGATATAGATCAACAAGTTTCTGAAGCATGTCTGCAGAGGAGATGAAAAACTGATGCATGGCCAGAATTATTTTTAGCAGCTGGTTGTTTTGACATGCATTTCCTTCTAAATCTAAAAAACAAAAAGGATTATTCATATTGAAATCTTGTTATACTTTCATAAACAATTTGCAACAGGCTCTTTCAGAACCCTAATTCTAATCAGGTCTGTTCATGTATGCTATTTCAAAGATAGCAGTAATTTATTAATAAGAAAAAGATAAACAAAAAAGATGTGTCTCAAAAATAATCAGAATGCCCATATAATTATACATAATTATCTAAGCCCAGCAATGTTAAATGCTTAGCTTTAGGCATATGAATATAAACTTGCAAACAAATCATTGAACTGTAGAGCAAAGTAGTTCAGTTACTGATCCACCTCAGCCAGTCCTTGGTATGACTACACTTATCAAACAGAACAGCAATATTCTCAAGTATTTGTGAGCCTTTTTGTACAGATGGCACACATAACACCAAAGTGCACACACAGAACAGGATCACAGATGTACATGGAATGAAATACAACATATGCTAGAAATTCAGAGGTTAACCTGTGCATATTCCCTGTGCTGGACCTAAATGCACTGCACATCAACTTGAACTATGCATTACAGCGATTTCAGCAGAGGAACGGCTTTAGACTACATCTGTCTTCTAGTGGGGTTTTTTTTTCATATGTCAAAATGATCAAGGGCATGAAATGTAGCAAACACTTTAAGAAGTTTCCATTTCTACAATAAACAGTAGTGAAAGTGTTTGTAAATATTAACTGACAGTGTTCTCCCACAGCCAGTCATAAGAAAACCAAACTAGCTTGAATTGGAATTTGACACCCTTTCAAATACAAAAGAAAATTTATCTTCTTGAATAATTTTAAATAGATTAACCTCTATGGGAATAAATGTAGTTATCTTATTAAAAAGATCTTATCTTATCTTATCTTTTTAAAAAGCAGTAGCAGGAACAAGATAGAGAAGCAAAGCACAATATATTGGCAAAATGGAAGAGGGATGTGAAACAGCAGATTTCCAGTATATGAAATGACATCTACTGCTAGGGAAGGAAGGGAGAAGGCACTTTAATTTGCACATCACCAAAATGGGACATTAAACATAGCTCATTTGCAAAACATGATGATCCACACTAGTTACTGGGTGAGAATTTCCATGCCCTTTTACAGGAAGATACCAAATGTATCTACCTTCAGTGAAACGGGCAAGGGGAAAGCCTGCCTGTCCTACAGCCCATGAATGAGAGCAGAACAGACCCCAAAGAAGTCACTGATCTTCCTTTTGGCTTATGCTACAAGTTCTGGTTTACAGCATGAACCAAGGTTTACATGTTCCTTTTTTGTGTTCACACATAATTTCATTCCTTACTAAAGGATTTACTTCCTTACTGAGGGAATACTGACAGATATAATATATTTCTGAGATATAAACTGCCTAGATATTACAGCATGAGCACTGAGGGCAAACCAGCAAGTTATTCAGCTAGAGAAGTGGGAAATTTACAGAGGAAGGCTGGGACATCAAGAATAAATACTTAATCAGGCCTTTAGTATTTGGCATTTGAGTGTGTACCCTTTGAGTGTCTTCATGAGGAGTAAAATTATTTTAGGCCTTGCACACAGAGGCCTGTATCAGTTTTCTTCCTTTGACAAAACTTGGTGTTCTGCCAGAAGCTCCATCCACTAGCCCCTGTTGGATCAGGAGCACAGTTCAGTATATGCTTAACTTGGAAGCTGAGTGGATATGTGTGCACATACTCTTCAGAATATACACCTTCCTGTAAGTGCTCAATATAGATCATTTCCAGACAAAGACAAAAAATAACACTCTCCCTCCCTTAGCACTTTCATTGTGTGCATTCTGTGCATTGAGTGCATTTCATTGTGTGCAAAATCCTCTGCTATGGCATAACACAGGTATCACCTGGCCACAGCTTCCCATTTGAATTTTTGTTTTCTAGAAGGTCGCTCTTCCATTTAGCTTTTTTATGTCACAAAGGTACAGAGAAAAACAGCATGTTCTGCCTACTATTAGTAATTAAATCAACACATTTATGATGCTTTCCTGCATACTGAAAGGACATTTATGCTTCACCACATCCAGACCTAATTATCTTGCAACAGAGATACACTTCATTACAATGGCATGCTATTATTTTGCACACATTAAAACAATACTAGGTTTGGGGCTATCTCTTCTCTCATCCAACTAAAAGTCTCACCTTCACAAAAAAAAAACCCCATTGTATTTGTGGTGGCTTAAAAAACAAAATAAATACTCTGCAAAAAGAAATCTAAATGTTCCCAGTAGAGTTGAGCACTGAACAGCAAGCCTGCATGGAACTGTACCAGCCCACAATTCACAATGGTAAAGCATCTTTGTGCAAATGCCAGTAAGAGGGCTGTCCTGACTGTGCTGCAAGCTGCCTCTGCAGCATTCTCCTGAACCCCCAGCAGGTTTGTTTTAAAACTCCTTTTCATTTCCGTTTGTATACCTGCTTCTAACCACACGGCCTACCGAGCAAAACCACTGAGTGAACACTAACTAAAGTGGGATGGGTGTGCTTCAGTTAGTCAATTTACATTAAAGAAAGCTGCAAATTACTGCATAAGCCTTAGCTTTGTCTCACTGCCACAAAATACAAATAACCAACTGGTTATTTGTTGCATGTTTTTCTCCTGTAAATTCCCTTATTGTATTATGATTTTTAATAAATATACTCTGAAACAAAAAAAGAAAGCAGAAGTTGAACATACTTTTCCAGCATTTAACTCTATGAGTCAAAATACAATGACAGTTAATGATAAGTATTTTATGATCCATGTAGCATAAAGCCACTAATAACTACAATTACAAGAGTTCCATTTCTTATATGAGACTCAGAACACACAAGGGCAAGAACCTTCTAATTTAGGCCCATCAGCCACTCTATTGCATGGGCCCATGAGTGACTCTAATCCCTGATTTAGAAATAGCTTAAGTATCTCTAGATCCTTGAATGCTTTGGAGAAACAAATTACTCAAAAATCAGTAAGTAAGGCTTTAAGAGCAAACTACCTGCTTTTCACCAGATCCTGATGGCCACAAGCCATACTTAACAGAAAGAATATCTTCAGTAGAGAGGATTGCTGTACTGAGACCTTCCCTCCGATGCATGAGTGCAACAATAAGGCAGTAGTAGGAATGCCAAGGATGTCTTAACCAAACTGAATTTTGCAGGAAAGAAAAGTTAGCTTTTCTAGGTCTAAGAGGCCTTTCTTTCATAAGCACCATCTTTATTTCATAAGCAGGTTCCAACGGTATCACCTAGAGTACAATTTGAAATGAATCAGAAGTGAATCACAGAGCACTGACATCACATGATCAGTGACTAAGCTACTAAGAACACGAATAACTTCTTGTAAACTCCCTTAAGTCTTCCAGTGGTTATCAAAATGTGGCACCAAAAACAACGCAGTGCAAGAAAGTATCAAGCAATTGCCAGAAGTTAAGTGCAAAGCTGAAAGTCGTGGGTTGCTATTCTGATGTGTTACATAGAATTCTTCAGGACTTCTGCAATTTTTTTCCTAGTAGTTTAAAGAACATAGTGTGGGGATGGTGCTATTAATGTCTGCAAAGATTATTAAGTCAACATGTGATCTGAAAACTGAGGGAACTTATGTTCTTAAGGTCTCAAGGTTTCAAAGACCTTGATATAACACACAGACATGTAAGAAAAATGCAGATACATGCAGGAATAGATGGTAGGGTTTAATGACTGAAGTGAAACAGCCGTAAGTAAATGCATCTGCCTCACATGCGAGGTCCAGTACTGCAAGATAACTTTAAAATGGCTAGAAGCAACCAAAACTAAATAAAATATTTCATGAGCATTTTACAGATTGTCCCTGGAAACTCCCTTTACAAACAGGAAAGAGTCTGTTCCCCTTCTGCTTAACACTTAGGCAACCCACAGGAGCCTTCTTATTCCAGGCTCACTACTTCTGTGTTGGAACTTGACACCCTGCAACAGGGCTAGTCATTTAACTCTCTTCATTAAATGGAATACATTCGGCCAGAATCTGATTCATAAGAAGCCACCAGTCTCCTTATCAGTTATGACACCATTATTGAAGGTCAGCAAGCAAATTTAACTTAAACTAATTTTTTAATGACAGCTGAACACACAGTTGATGGCAGATATCAGGCCTAGGAGCCAATATCTTGTATTCTGTTGCTCCAATGCAGAAATAGCTTTCTCAAAATCATGTTTCAGAATCAGTTTAATTTGTTCTTAAAATTCTACAGTTATGAGGACTTCACAGCTTTTTTAGGCGACTTATTCCAGTGCTTGGGTTTCTCTATCATTTAAGAGTTCTCCTTTCTGTCTAATTAAATATTTCAGGCAACTTGGGCTGCTTCTTTTTTCCTAACAATATATTTTCTCTCTTTAAGGGTTGCATCCCTCATCTATTTTCTGAAATAAGGAACACCAAATTTGTCACTTTTTATTCCTCAGAAGAAAGGTTTTCTAGCTGTCTGGTCAATTTTGATATTGTTTTCTGAACCCTTTGTAGCTTGCACTATTATGAAGAAAACCTGAATATAGTATACTACAGAGGAGATCTTAGCACCAGAGGTAGACTATTACTCGTAATATCCTTCATATAATATCTTTATATACACCTACATTTTAATGTAAATAAATGTATAATGTTTTCATACAGAAAATATGAAAGTATGCACACAGAGTTACTGCAGTGATACAATATCATTATTGTAATTAATACAATTTTCAGCTTTAAAGTCCATCTTCACAATGAGATCCTTTTCTGCAGACATACTGTATATGAAGGACTTTTCCATACTGTTTTTACAATTGTTTACTCTTATCAGAACTTTGTACTCATCCTTAGTGATTTCAAATAATTATCTTAAGTGCTTAGTATCTTTCAGAAATAATATAACTTAATAAGAATATCCTTGCAAAGATGATACAGTAATTAGATAATAGAATGCAATTTTTAGTTTTAGCTGCAGCAGAAAGCAGGTGGAATATTGAGCTCTCCAGCTTATATTT